CTGTCATGCTAACAAAAGAACAATACATTCTTTTTTTTTTTTTTTTGAGACAGTTTCACTCTGTCGCCCAGGCTCACTGTAACCTCTGCCTCCCAGGTTCAAATGATTCTCCTGTCTCAGCCTCCCGAGTAGCTGGGATTACAGGCGCCCACCACCACACCCAGCTAATTTTTCTACTTTTAGTGGAGGCGGAGTTTTGCCATGTTGGCCAGGTTGGTCTCGAACTCCTGACCTGAGGTGATCCACCCGCCTCGGTTTCCCAAAGTGCTGGGATTACAGGCGTGAGCCATCGCACCTGGCCAGAACAATACATTCTTAGAAAAGTGAAAAGACAGATGAGAAAGACCTCAAATTCCTGGGATGGTAAATTGTGAGAAGGTAAATGTGTGGGGGAAAAACTGGAGGATGAGGGCTGGCTCATAAGGGTTTGTTGTGTAGATTCTTCTGGTGCCTTCTCAGGGCTGTACGTGTCGGGAGCTGTCTCCGGTGATTAACTTCTGTGTTTCCTGGTAGAGAAGGGGAAAGGGGGCACCTTTACAAACTGATGTCTTGCTTTTCGGCAAATCAAGGGAAGGCAGAGAATTTTTCTTGTGTCTGCTCCTTCTCAAGCATCTGCAGCTCAGAATAGTCCATTTGAAATATACAATAAATTATTATGAACTATAGTCACGCTACTGTGCTATCAAACGCTAGAACTTACTCCTGTCCGTTGTATTTTTGTGCCCGTTAACCAACCCCTCTTCATCCAGCCCCTCCCACCTGCCTTTCCTGTCAATATGTACCATTATCATGTACCAACTTTTACAACTCAGTACACCAAACTGGAATATTTGAGGGTGGTATATTCTGCCATCCTGCATTTCTCTGAAAAGCCAGGAACTCCCTGCTCAGACCCACAAACCCACCTGCTCTCCACCCTCTTCCTGCCAAGAGCGCTTCAGACCCAGCCTGTGTCCCCAATTATCCCCTTCTCCTGCTGTTATTTCCTCACTTGCCAACACTGCTTTTCTCTTCTCTACCCCCTTGGATGTACAGACATCCCACAGCATTTCCATCTTTAAGAAAATCTTTTTTTTTTTTTTTTTTTTTTTTGAGACGGAGTCTCACTCTGTCACCCAGGCTGGAGTGCAGTGGCGCGATCTCGGCTCACTGCAACCTCTGCCTCCCAGGTTCAAGCGATTCTCCTCCTGCCTCAGCCTCCCAAGTAGCTGGGATTAGAGGCGCTCACCACCACACCCGCCTAATCTTTGTATTTTTAGTAGAGACGGGGTTTCACCAGGTTGGCCAGGCTGGTCTCAAACTCCTGAGCTTGTGACCCGTCTGCCTCAGCCTCCCAAAGTGCTGGGATTACCGGCGTGAGCCACTGCACCCGGCCTGATTTTTTTTTTTTATTGGTGCATAATAACTGTGTATTTATGGCAAGGGTGGCAGGGAGGAGGGATAAAGAGAGGTTGGTTCGTGGGTATTAGAAATGGAAGAGGGAATGAGATAGAAGATGCCCCACTGCTACCTTTGAAGAAGGAGGAAGGAGCAGAAACCCAAGGACTGCACGTGGCTTCTAGAAGCTGGAGAAGGCCAGGAACAGATTCTCCCCCTAGAACCTCCAGAAGGAACCAGCCCTGCCAACACCTCAATTTTAGTCCAGTGATCTTAGCCCATTTCAGGCTTCTAGCCTCCATAACTGCATGTTTTATCTTAAAAATGCTGTGTTGTCGGCCAGGTGCAGTGACTCCCACCTGAAATCCCAGCTCTTTGGGAGGCTGAGGCAGGCAGATCACGAGGTCGAGAGATCGAGACCATCCTGGCCAACATGGTGAAATCCCGTCTCTACTAAAAATACAAAAATTAGCCGGGCGTGGTGGTGCACACCTGTAATCCCAGCTACTCAGGAGGCTGAGGCAGGAGAATCATTTGAACCTGGGAGGCGGAGCTTGCAGTGAGTCAATATTGCACTATTGTACTCCAACCCAGGTGACATGGTGAGACTCCGTCTCAAAAAAAAAAAAAAAAAATACTGTGTTGTCTTAAGCCACCAAATTCATGGTAAATTTGTCACACTAGTGCAACAGGTCACGATTCTTCTTTCCAGGATTATGTCTATAGCTCCCTACCCTTGTTTTCGGTAGCAGAGCCAGCCAGAATGATCCTTTTAAAAGTTATGGCCATCCCACGCCAGTCCAATCAGGTCCCGCGTGACCTCTTGGGATCATCTCCACTGTCTTCGTCTTGCCCATTCACCTCCACTCACGCTGGTCCTGCGGTTTCTCAACAGCTCCAGGCACATCCTGGCCACAGGGCCGTGGTCCTTGCCCTTCTGTCTGGAACTCATCTGATATCCACACAGCCCAGTCCGTGACCTCTTACCTCCTCCTCTCCTCCGAGCTTTTGCTCAGACATCCCTGCTTCAGTGAGCCCTTCCGTCAGCCTTTTACAAATTGCAGCAGGGTATTTCTCACCTCCTGTTCTCTCTCTTCTCTCTTTTATCCATGGTGCATATAATCTTCCATCACATCACAGTGTGCTCCCATGGGCATGCACACAGAAATAAACTTCTGTTTGCTGTGCTTTCGTGAATCTGTCTTTCATGAGCATAACATCCAAGGCTCCAGCCAATGAATCTAAGATCAATAAAGAGAGAGAGAAAAGTTTTTCCTCCCCTACGCTTTTTCATCCACTGAAATGTTAGCTGCATGAGGACAATTTTTTATGTGTCTTTTGCTCACCAACATATCCCCAGTGCCAAAAGTAGCGAGCATAATATTTGACACTGGGATATTTCAGTGAGTGAATCCGGAAGGACTGTGTTATGAACTGAATGTCTGCGTCCTCCCCCAAATCCACAGGCTGAAACTCTAACCACCAAGGTAATGGCAGAAGAAGGCAGGGCCTTTGGGAGGTGATTAAGTCATGGGGCCAGAGCCCTCATGATTGGGATTCTAGCCCTTATGAAAGAGACTCCAGTGAGCTCCCTCACCCCTTCCTCCATGTGGGGAGGACACAGCAAGAAGGTGCTGTCCACGAACCAGGAAGCCGCCCTCACCAGACACTAAATCTGCCAGCACCTGGATCTTGGACTTCCAGCCCCCAGAGCTGAGATAAATCGATGTCTGTTGTTACTAGGCCACCCAGTGTATGGTATTTGTTATGGTAGTCCAGACAGCCTAAGACAGACTGGCCTGTGCAGATACCATCTCACATGTGCAAGTGCATCTGTGAGGTGCAGTTTTTGTTTTTGTTTTGTTTTTTGAGACAGAGTCACTCTCTGTCCCCCAGGCTGGAGTGCAGTGGCGCGATCTCGGCTCACTGCAAGCTCTGTCTCCCAGGTTCACGTCATTCTCCTGCCTCAGCCTCCCGAGTAGCTGGGACTACAGGCGACTGCCACCACGCCTGACTAATTTTTTGTATTTTTAGTAGAGATGGGGTTTTCACCGTGTTAGCCAGGATGGTCTCCATCTCCTGACCTCATGATCCGCCCACCTCAGCCTCCCAAGGTGCTGGGATTACAGGCGTGAGCCACTGCGCCTGCCTTTTGTGTTTTTGTTTTGAGACGGAATCTCGTTCTCTCACCAGGCTGGAGCACAGTGGCGGGATCTCAGCCCACTTACTGCAACGTCCCCCTCCTGGGTTCAAGTGATTCGCCTGCCTCAGCCTCCCAAGTAGCTGGGACTACAGGTGCACGCCACCACGCCCAGCTAATATTTGTATGTTGTTTTTTTTTTTTTAGTAGAGATGGGGTTTCACCATGTTGGCCAGGATGGTCTCAATCTCTTGACCTCGTGATCCTCCCCGCTTGGCCTCCCAAACTGCTGAAATTACAGGCATGAGCCACCACACCCAGGCTCAGGTTGCAGTTTTAGAAGTAGAACCACTGGGTTCCATAGCAGTGCACACATGATTGTTAGATATTGTGAAAAGGCCTTTCAGAGAGGTTCCCCCTGCTTATGTTCCCTTCGGCAGTGAATGAAAGTAAAGCAAAACAATGATGTAATTGTCAACATCCTCCCTTGCTCTGCAAATTTCTTTTCTTTTCTTTTTTTTTTTTTTTTTTTTTTGAGACAGGGTCTTGCTCTGTCACCCCAGCTGGAGTACGGTGACGCAATCTCCACTCACTACAACCTCTGCCTCCTGGGTTCAAGCAATTCTCCTGCCTCAGCCTCCTGAGTAGCTAGGATTACAGGTACCCACCATCACACCCAGCTAATTTTTGTGTTTTTAGTAGAGGCAGGGTTTCACCATGTTGGCCAGGCTGGTCTGGAACTCCTGACTTCAGGTGATCCACCTGCCTTGGCCTCCCAAAGGCCTTCACAAAAGGTTTAGCGAAAAGAACAATGAGAAGCAGGTAAAATAATTCAGTGAAGCTAAAATCTAGAAAATATATGGTTGGTTAGAAGGCTCCATTAGATTAAAAGTGATCTCAAATTCAACAAAGTTTTTATTCTTAAAAAATGGATCATGTATTAGAGAAATGCAAATCAAAACCACAATGAGGTGTCATCTCATTGTGAAAAGCGTTCATTGCAGCACTTTGCACAATAGCAAAGACATGGAATCAACCTAAATGCCCATCAGTGATAAACTGGATAAGAAAATGTGGTACATAAACACCATGGAATACTATGCAGCCATAAAAAAGAATGAGATCATGTCCTTTGCAGGAGCATAGATGGAGTCGGAGACCATTATTCCTTAGCAAATTAACACAGGAACAGGTAACCTGTGCTAACCTTTTGTGAAGGTTTTGATATTTTGCTTGCTTCCTTCCCAAAAGGAGGCATAGAGAATAAAAACTACAAACAATCCATCAGTCTAATGGACTAATCCCAAATATTCAATGCATCTTCAGTTTTTCCACAGGGCAGAGAATCTTTGAGGAAAGGAGGTAAAGGGAGTACATGGCACACAGAATACTCTGCCAAGTAAGCCTTACATTAATCTGTCTTCTTGGGTGGTGTTTTCATCTTCTTGTTTTATTGTTTTATGTTTCCGCAGGTCTCGTGTTTCTCTCTTCTGATCAGTTGTGTTTATCGTAGACACTGAGGTGTTCTCTGCCTTGACTAAAGATGAGTGATGTGAATCCACCCTCTGACACCCCCGTTCCCTTTTCATCCTCCTCCACTCACAGTTCTTGTAATCCACCCTGGACATTCTCTTGCTACCCCGGCTCCCCCTGTGAAAATGGGGTCATGCTGTACATGAGGTATGTGAGCAACAAGGAGCTACAATGGTTCAAGCAGTTCTTACTGAATGAACTCAGAGCTGGCACCACGCCCATCACCTGGGACCAGGTCAAGAGAGCCAGTTGGGCAGAGGTGGTTCATCTCTTGATAGAGCGTTTCCCCGGACGACGAGCTTGGGATGTGACTTCAAACATCTTTGCTGTTATGAACCGTGATAAAATGTGTGCTCTAGTACACAGAGAGATAAATGGTGAGTGTTGATCTGGTGGATAAACTCGGGGTGGGCTTGGCTGCTGGGCAGCTAAATACTCTACTCGCCACCCCTATCGCTTATTGGCCATCGGAGCAAGAATGCAAATAGTGGAGGAAGATACTAGATATAACCCAAAGGCAAAGACTCTCATATGGGCATTTCTTTTCATTTAATTTTTTTTTTTTTTTTTTTTTTTTTTTTGAGATGGAGTTTCGCTCTTGTTACCCAGGCTGGAGTGCAATTGGCACAATCCCGGCTCATGGCAACCTCTACCTCCCAGATACAGGTGAGTCTCCTGCCTCAGCCTCCTGAGTAGCTGGGATTACAGGCGCCCGCCACCACACCCGGCTAATTTTTTTTTTATATTTAGTAGAGATGGGGTTTCACCATGTTGGCCAGGATGGTCTCGAACTCCTGACCTCAGGTAATCCACCTGCCTTGGTCCCCCAAAGTGCTGAGATTGCAGGTGTGAGCCACTGCGCCCAACCCATATGGGCATATTTTTTAAAAACTTAACTGAATACTGCTTATATGCGGTGAACGTCAAAGGAAGACATAGAGAAGTAGGGAGTAAAATAGTGCAAAAGCGTATGCTGTGGAAACAGTAAACAGAAGAAAGCTGGTGTGGCTATGGTGATGTCAGCAGTGCTGTATTTAAAGCAAGAAGGTTAAAGATTTTAAAAGGCCATTTTACAGCAACAAAGGGTTAATCCCACTGGAGGATGCTGTAATCCAAAAGCTCATCTTCCGTATGTATAAAGCAGAGCTGGACTACAGTCGTCCCCTTATCCAAGGTTTTTCTTTCTGAAGTTTGTTACCCATGGCCGATCATCGTCAAAAATAGATGAGTAGAGTAGAGTGAGATATTCTGAGACAGAGAGAGACCACATTTACATACCATTTATGATAGTATAGTATTACAATTGTTCTATTTCATTATTATTGTTAATCTCTTACTGTACCTAATTATAATTTAAACTTTTATCATAACTAGGTATGTATTGTTTTTCTATTTTGAAACGGAGTCTTCATTCTGTCACCCAGGCTAGAGTGCAGTGGTACGATCTCAGCTCACTGCAACTTCCACCTCCTAGGTTCAAGCAATTCTCATGCCTCAGCCTCCCTAGTAGCTGGGATTACAGGTGCACACCACCATGCCCGGCTAATTTTTGTATTTTTAATAGAGATGGGGTTTCACCATGTTGGCCGGGGTGGTCTCGAACTCCTGACCTTAGGTGATTTGCCTGCCTCAGCCTCCCAAAGTGCTGGAATTACAGGCGTGAGCCACCACGCCCAGCCTAGGTATGTATTTTTAAAAATCAGTGTCTACATGGTTCAGGACTATCCACAGTTTCAGATATCCACTGGGAATCTTGGAACGTAGACCCTGCAGAGAAGGGGGGACTACTGTATTAAAGGGAAAATACACCAATCCAGAAACATGATAGGAGCTGTGAACCCGCCTCTCCCAATAGCTGATGTTACAAGTAGTCAGTCTCATCAGTAAGAATGGAGAAGACATCAGCTCCACAATTTTAAACATAAAAAACAGGAGACTGGGTGCCCAATGACTCCTTAGCTACTGGCACCCCAGCACCTGGCTCAGCACCTAGCATGTTAGAGTTGCTCGAATATTAGATGGCTAGAGAGTAATTGATTGTGAAAAGGAACTTTGTTTTGATAAGGCAGCCCAGGAAGTCCTCTTTAAGGAAGTGACGCTAAGGTTGAGACCTAACACGGGAGGACATAGCTCATCTTGTGGAAAGGAGAGAGAGAGTCAATGGAAAAGAAAATCAGAGGGGATGGAAACTCCACGGCCCAGTGGTAGAGAAAATCTTAGTGTTAAACAGCAAAATGTTAATATTTACTAAAACCTGATGAAAACACACAGAGAGGCTGGGCATGGTGGCTCATGCCTGTAATCCCAGCACTTTGGGAGGCAGAGGTGGGCAGATCACCTAAGGTCAGGAGTTCAAGACCAGCCCAGCCAACATGGTGAAACCTGGTCTCGGCTAAAAGTACAAAAAAAAAAAAAAAAAGGTCAGGAGTTCAAGACCAGCCCAGCCAACATGGTGAAACCTGGTCTCTACTAAAAATACAAAAAAAAAAAAAAAAAAAAATTAGCTGGGCATGGTGGCAGGCACCTGTAATCCCAGTTATTCGGGAGGCTAAGGCAAGAGAATTGCTTGAACCCTGGAGGCGGAGGTTGCAGTGAGCTGAGATCATACCACTGCACTCCAGCCTGGGTGATAAAAGCAGAACTCCATCTCAAGAAACACACACACACACACACACACACACACATACACAGTTGATCTTCATTTTGCATGGATTCTGTATTTGTGAATGTACCTACTCATTAAAAGGTATTTGTAACCCCCAAATCAATACTTACAGCGCTTTCAAGATCATTCCCAGACAGCAACGCAGCAAAAACATCAGGTTGACCTCCCAGCCAAGGTCAAACAAGGCGACGCTCTGCTTTCTGGCTTCAGCTGTCACCTTGTAAGCCAGTGTCATTTCCACGTCTGTGCTTTGAGTTGGTGGTTTTGCTCTTTAAAATAGTACCCAGGCCGGGCATGATGGCTCATGCCTATAATCCCAGCACTTTGGGAGGCTGAGGCGGGAGGATCATGAGGTCAGGAGTTCGGGACCAGCCTGGCTAACATGGTGAAACCCCATCTCTACTAAAAAATACAAAAATTAGCCTGGTGTGGTGGCGGGTGCCTGTAGTCCCAGCTACTCGGGAGGCTGAGGCAGAAGAATCGCTTGAATCCAGGAGGCAGAGGTTGCAGTGAGCTGAGATCACACCGCTGCACTCCAGCCTGGGCCACAGAGTGAGACTTCATCTCAAAAAAAAAAAAAAAAAAAAAAATGGTACCCAAACTAGTGCTGATGTGCCTTTCTGTGTTCCTCAGGGCAAGAAGGCTGTGCTGTGCCTTAGGGAGAAAACATATGTGTTAGCTGAGCTTCCTTTAGGCAGGATTTATCAGTGTGCTTGGCCATGAGCTCAGTGTTAATAATCAACAATACATACTAAGTAAGGTGTATTTAAACAAAAACACATGTAAAACAAGTTTTTATATTGATCAGTCGATGAAAATGTAACCAGAGACGAGCAGGAAACAAACCCTGCATTTTCCTGGGACCAATGGTTCCGTATTAGCGAATTCGGTGTTCACAAGAATTTTATAGACGAGAACTACCAGGCATAACAAGAATCAATGACTATATGTGTATGCGTGTATATAGATATACATGTGTACACATATGTGCACACATACATAGATATTAAACTAGAAGTTCCTTGGTATCCATGGGGGATTGGTTCCAGGCTGTCCCTCAAGGGTACTGAACAAATTCATGGGTGCTCAACTCCTTCATATAAAATGCCATCGTATTTGCATAGAACCTGTACACATCCTCCTGCAGACTTAAAATCACTCTAAATTACTTATAATACCTAACACAATGTAAATGCTATGTAAATAGTTGTTATCCTGTATTGGTCTTTTTTATTTTTTGAGACAAGGTCTTACTCTATTTCCCAGATTGGAGTGGAGTGGTACGATCATGGCTCACTTGAGCCTCTACCTCCTGAGCTCAAGCGATCCTCCTGCCTCAGCCTCCTGAGTGGCTAGGACTATAGGTGTGCCACCGTGCCCAGCTAATTTTTTTTAATTTTTTTAGTAGAGTTGAGGTCTTGCTATGTTGCCCAAGCTGGTCTCAAACTCCTTGGCTCATGTGATCCTCCTGCCTCAGCCTCCCAAGTAGCTAGGACTACAGGTGTGCCACCACACCCGGCTAATTATTTTTTATTTTTTTAGTAGAGTTGAGGTCTTGTTATGTTGCCCAAGCTGGTCTCAAACTCCTTGGCTCAAGTGATTCTCCTGCCTCAGCCTCCCACGTAGCTAGGACTACGGGTGTGCCACCACGCCCGGCTAATTATTTTTTATTTTTTTAGTAGAGTTGAGGTCTTGTTATGTTGCCCAAGCTGGTCTCAAACTCCTTGACTCGAGCGATCTTCCTGCCTCAGCCTCCCAAAGTGCTGGGATAACAGGTGTGAGCCACAGTGCCCAGCCTTGTATTGGTTTTTCAATTGTATTATTTTATTGTTGTATTTTTATTGGGTTTTTAATTTACTTTCCATCCTCAGTTGGTTGATTCCACAGATGTAGAACCCGTGGATATGAAGGGCTGACTGGATGCATAGATACACAGCTACATAGATATTAAACTGCATATATTTTACAGACACATATGTGTGTATGAGTATGTGTGTATTTCTCTATGTTTCTCCCTCAGTGTCTGGCTGTGCTATGCATTTATAACATGTTATTGAACACCTTACTTAGTGCATCACAGAACAACATCTTTTCTCATTTCCTAAAATTCCTGTGATAGAGATAGATCTAGGTGATTTTTCTTCTCCCTGAACGGAGGTGGTGAGAAGGTGAGACTCCTTTTTTTTTTTTTAATTGTTATTATACTTTAAGTTCTAGGGTACATGTGCGTAACGTGCAAGTTTGTTACATATGTATACTTGTGCCATGTTGGTGTGCTGTACCCATCAACTCGTCAGCACCCATCAACTCGTCTTTTAATTCAGGTATAACTCCCAGTGCAATCCCTCCCCCCTCCCCGCTCCCCATGATAGGCCCCGGTGTGTGATGTTCCCCTTCCCGAGTCCAAGTGATCTCATTGTTCAGTTCCCACCTATGAGTGAGAACATGTGGTGTTTGGTTTTCTGTTCTTGCGACAGTTTGCTGAGAATGATGGTTTCCAGCTGCATCCATGTCCCTACAAAGGACACAAACTCATCCTGAGACTCTTAAGATGTGTGGCCGCCTCTGTCCTAAATAGGCCATTGGCTCCATGCTGTTTCCCTGCTACCAAGATCTCATCATTCCCATGAAACAGGCTCCTTTTTTCTGTTCCAGCCATTCTACCTACCTTGGAACCAGAGGACTTGAATGTGGGAGAAACACAGATGAATCTGGAAGAAGGAGACTCTGGTATGTGCCTGCATCGTAGCAGACCCTGGTGAAAACATGGGCTATGGATTGGGATGAGCCACTCAGTTCCTAAGGCAAGGCAGATTGTAAGTTACCGTATCCAGTGTCTCTTCTGCAATCAGAACTTAAGCAAAAAGAGACGGGGCGAGGTGGCTCGCTCCTGTAATCCCAGCACTTTGGGAGGCCGAGGAGGGCGGATCGCCTGAGGTCAGGAGTTTGAGACCAGTCTGACCAACATGGGGAAACCCCATCTCTACTAAAAATAAAAAAATTAGTCAGGCGTGCTGGCAGGTGCCTGTAATCCCAGATTCTTGGGAGGCTGAGGTGGAAGAATCGCTTGAACCTGGAAGGCGGAGGTTGCAGTGAGCCAAGATCGCGCCACTGCACTCCAGCTTGGGCAACAGAGAGAGATTCCACCTTGAAGAAAAAACAAAACAGACACAAAGCAGACCAGGCTAGGCAGTGGCTCACGCTTGCAATTCTAGCACTTTGGGGGGCTGAGCAGGGGTGGATCACTTGAGGTCAGGAGTTTGAGACCAGCCTGGCCAACATGGTGAAACCTCATCTCTACTAAAAACACAGAAACTAGCCGGGCGTGGTGGTGGGCACCTGTAATCCCAGCTACTCGGGAGGCTGAGTCAGGAGAATTGCTTAATCTGGGAGGCGGAGGGTTGCAGTGAGGTGAGATCGTGCCACTGTACTCCTGGGTGATAGAATGAGACTCCATCTCAAAAAAACAAAACAAAACAAAACACACACACACACACACACAATCCTTCCTTCCTTTCCTTCCTTTCTTTCCTTTCCTTCCTTTCCTTCCTTCTCTTCCTTCCTCCCTCCCTCCCTTCCTTCTTTCCTTCTTTCTTTAGACAGAGTCTCGCTCTGTCACCCAGGCTGGAGTACAGTGGCATGATCTCAGCTCACTGCAACCTTCTACCTCCCAGGTTCAAGTGATTATCCTGCCTTAGCCTCCTGAGTAACTGGGATTGCACGCCCAGCTAACTTTTGTATTTTTAGTAGAGACAGGGTTCACCAGTGTCAAACTCCTGACTTCATGATCTGTCTGCCTTGGCCTCCCAAAGTGCTGGGATTACAGACATGAGCCACCGCGCCCGGCCTGTTTTTTTTTTTTTTAGACACAGTCTCACTCTGTCACCTGTGCTGGAGTGCAGTGGCGCAATCTTGGTTCACTGCAACCTCTGCCTCCTGGATTCAAGCAATTCTCCTGCCTCCACCTCCTGAGTAGCTGGGATTACAGGTGTGCACCACCACATCTGGCTAATTTTTGTATTTTTAGTAGAGACAGGGTTTCACCATGTTGGCCAGGCTGGTCTTGAACTCCTGACCCCAAGTGATCCACCCTCTTCAGCCTCCCAAAGTGCTGGGATTACAGGTGTGAGCCACCACGCCCAGCCCTCCCAAGTATTTCTGGTTTGAATGCAGATGACACAGCTGACACTACAGCAGCTATCTTATATCTGTGAGGCAAGAAATACAAAGAAAGGGCTGAGAGAATCGTGATGCTGCTGGACCTGAAACTATGGCGCCACTGAATGTAATTTCAACAGCTTTACACCCGCCATACTCCTCGTGTAGAAAGCAGTCCTTGTTTCATTTAAGCCACTTCCAGTTGAGTTTTCTGTTCATTGCTGCTTCCTAATGGATGCAACAGTATCAGGAAAGGTTATTTCATTTATGCCAGGGCATCACGGGGCTTCAGGTAGATGTGGAGACTGGTTTTCTTATTGCTCCGTTAGTTCTCATGATTAACTGTGATGCCGTACCCTTTATTTCTCCCGTCTCACAAATCTAGGTAAAATACAGCAGTACAAATTGAATGTGATAGTCAAGTGTTTCCCCACATGGGACTTTATGATTTGGCCTGGAAACCAGAGGGACTTCTTTTACCAAGATGTACACAGGCACATGGAGTACTTACCATGTCTGCTTCTACCCAAAAGACCCCAGGGTAGACAGCCCAAGACCGTGGTCATACAGGGAGTTTCTGGGATTGGAAAAACAACCCTGGCTAAAACGGTGATGTTGGAGTGGGCCAGTAACAGGTTCTACGCCCACAAGCCCTGGTGTGCTTTCTACTTCCATTGCCAAGAGATGAACCAGACAACGGAGCATAGCTTCTCCGAGCTGATTGAGCACAAGTGGCCTGGATCTCAGGACCTTGTGGCGAAGATTATGTCCAAACCAGACCAACTTCTGCTGCTGTTGGATGGTTTTGAGGAGCTCACATCTACCCTCATCAACAGACCGGAGGACCTGAGTGAAGACTGGAGGCAGAAATTGCCTGGATCTGTCCTACTGAGCAGTTTGCTGAGCAAAAAGATGCTTCCGGAGGCCACGCTACTGATCATGATAAGATGTACCTCGTGGCCGACATGCAAGCCCTTGTTGAAATGTCCCTCTCTCATCACCCTTCCGGGGTTTAATACGACGGAAAAAATCAAGTATTTCCAGATGTATTTTGGATACGGAGAGACAGATCGAGTCTTGAGTTTCGCCATGGAAAACACCATCCTCTTTTCCATGTGCCAGGTCCCTGTGGTTTGCTGGATGGTCTGCTCTGGTCTGAAACAGCAAATGGAGAGAGGAAACAATCTCACACAGGCATGTCCAAATGCCACCTCTGTATTCGTCCGGTATATTTCCAGCTTGTTTCCCACCAGAGCTGAGAACTTTTCCAGAAAGCTCCACCAAGCGCAACTGGAGGGTCTGTGTCACTTGGCCGCAGACGGTATGTGGCACAGGCAATGGGTGTTTGGTAAAGAAGACCTTGAGGAAGCCAAGTTGGATCAGACGGGAGTCTCCGCCTTCCTCGGCATGAGTGTTCTTCGAAGAATTGCGGGTGAGGAGGACCGCTACACCTTTACCCTCCTGATTTTTCAGGAATTTTTTGCGGCCTTGTTTTATGTTCTCTGTTTCCCACAAAGACTCCAAAATTTTCATGTGTTGAGCCACGTGAATATCCAGCGCCTGATAGCGAGTCCCAGAGGAAGCAAGAGCTATCTCTCTCACATGGGACTTTTCTTATTCGGCTTTCTGAACGGGACCTGCGCGTCGGCCGTGGAACAGTCATTCCAGTGCAAGGTGTCTTTCAATAATAAGAGGAAGCTGCTGAAAGTCATACCTCTGTTGCAGAAATGCGAGCCGCCTTCTCCGTGCTCTGGGGTCCCGCAGTTATTCTACTGTCTGCGTGAAATCCGGGAGGAAGCCTTTGTAAGCCAAGCCCTAAATGGTTACCGTAAAGTTGTCTTGAAAATTGGCAACAGTAAAGACGTTCAGGTGTCTGCTTTTTGCCTGAAGCGCTGTGCACATTTGCAGGAGGTGGAGCTGACCGTCACCCTGAGCTTCAAGAACATGTGGAAGCTCAGCTCCGGCTCCCGTCCTGGCTCTGAGTAAGTGCTTCTGTCCTTGGGGAGCCCGTCCTACCCGGGGCCCTTGACTACAGTCTCCTGGGTGTTTACGGGTCAATCTGCAAACCTTTCTGATCGCTTCCCTGGCCTAGTTTGCACAGTACTTCTGTTGTTTTGTTTTGTTTTGTTTGAGGCAGAGTCTCACTCTGTTGCCCAGGCTAGAGTGCAGTGGTGCGATCTCGGCTCACTGCAACCTCCCCTGCTAGGTTCAAGCGATTCTCCTGCTTCAGCCTCCTGAGTAGCTGGGATTACAGATGCATGCCACTGCACCCGGCTAATTTTGGCATTTTTAGTAGAGACGGGGTTTCACCATATTGGCCAGGCTGGTCTCGAGCTCCTGACCTCAGGTGATCCTCCTGCCTCGACCTCCCAAAGTGCTGGGATTACAGACACGAGCCATCGCACCCGGCCAGTATTTCTGTTTTAAGATAAACATGTATCTAGGGTGGTAGATGTTTGTTTTACAAACTGTCCCAGTTTGTTTAGGATTAAGGAGATTTCTGGGACCCAGAGCTTTGTTTTACTGTCACGACTGAAGGTGTTCCTGGGATATAGGACTTTCCGTGCTAAACCTGGGAGAATCCTGGGCAAAAAGATACGTGGTTCACCCTCCTTCCCTATGTGCTGCATGCCCATAAAGATGGGACTTTGCTTCATCTATCACTCCTACTTCTTTTTTTGAGACAGCGTCTCTCTGTTGCCCAGGAGTGCAGTGCTACGATCATGGCTGGCTGCAATCTCAAACACCTGGGCTCACGTGATTCTCCCACCTCAGCCTCCCAGGTGTCTGGAATTGCAGGCATGCACCACCATGCCAGGCTAATTTTCTTATTTTTTGGAGAGATGAGGTTTCTCTATGTCACCCAGGCTAATCTCCAACTCGCGGCCTCAAGCAATCTTCCCACCTTGGCCTCCTAAAGCACTGGAATTACAGGCACGAGTCACTGCGCCCAGCCTCACTCCTACTTTTGTGTATCAGAAGCTTTTTGTCTCAAGGCAAGTGCTACCCAGTGGAACTTAAGGTGATGATGGAGACATCCTGAATCTGTCTTATCCAATACGGGACCCGCTGGCCACATGTGACCCCTGAGCTCTTGGAATGTGGCTGGTGTGAATGAGTGAATGAACGTCTACATTGTATTTAACTTTAGTGAATTTAAGTGTAGATAGCGACATGCAGCTAGTAGCTACCACATCAGACAGCACACCTCTAGAGGGTCTTTCGTTCCGTGTAAAAATATCTCGTCCATCTTGAATTAAAAGAAACAGGCTGGGTGCCGTGGCTCGTGCCTGTAATCCCAGCGCTTTGGGAGGCCAAGGCAGGTGGATCACTTGAGGCCAGGAGTTCGAGACCAGGCTGGCCAACATGGTGAAACCCCATTTCTACTAAAAACACAAAAAAATTAGCCGGGCGTGGTGGCGGGCGCCTGTAGTCCCAGCGACTCAGGAGGCTGAGGCAGGAGAATGATGTGAACTCGGGAGGCGGAGCTTGCAGTGAGCTGAGATCGTGCCACTGCACTCCAGCCTGGGCGACAGACAGAGCAAGACTCCGTCTCAAAAAAAAAAAAAAAAAAAAAAAAAATACAAAAATTAGCCGGGTGTGATGGTGGTCACCTGTAATCCCAGCTACTTGGGAGGCTGAGGCAGAAGAATCACTTGAACCCAGGAGGCGGAGGCTGCAGTGAGCCGAGATCACGCCACTGTCTTAGAAAAAAAAAAGTACATATCTCATAAGGTTGTTAAACATGTTAAAATCTACAGCATACTGAATAAGTCCAGTCCTTCATTTAGTGCTAAGAAGATACAAACTGTTACTACTCAAGTAATTCCTCATCCCCTCCACTCCACCAAAACTCTCCTGGAAGATCTTTATTTTGGCAAATATAATGGATTTCTTTTTCTTAAGAAGTGGCAAAAAGCGCTGACTACTCCTTTCTTCATATCGGTTGATATTTATTTGGCATTTGCCATGTGGCAGACACAATGTCAAGCACTTACTTCATGTGAATTATTTCTGCCCCCAACTCCATGATGCACTGGAGGTGTACGAAGCACCTTGTCCGAGCTCACACGTCTGGTCGAAACTAAGACGAAGTAAAATTTGACCCCAAAGGCTATGATGAGAAGAGAGAGGCGATTCAGACTGACTCCTGGCAAGAGGGGGGACATTGTCCTTCTGTTGCATAAGGGAAATGCCTTCTTGTTCCTTAACTGCTCTGCAGAAAGGAACCACAATCTCTTCCAGATTCCTGTCTTTCCGTGAAAGACTGCCTGAGTCTTCAGCAGACGGATATGTAGCATTAATGTTCATCCTAGACATATACTGGTCTAGTGTGTGGATAGAGAAATAAAAGTTGGTCTCTCCTTACCAACTTTACGTGATGAGACATTTAAATTTTAAGTAATGTAAGTTCTGTTCCGTTCTTCGCCACGACGGGCAGTGTGCAGGTCTCCTCAGCCATGGCTGAGTTTCTCCAGGGCAGAGCTAAGCAAGCTACAGCCAGGAGGCCAGACCCAGCTTTTTCTGCTTGTTTAGGTAAATACAGTTTGATCGGAGCCTGGCCGTGCTTGTGACATGTTGTCTGTGACTGCTACCCCACTGCCGTGGCAGGACCAAGTCATTGCCAGGAAATTCACTGCCAGAAAAGCTGAATATATTTGCTACCTGGTCAATTACAGGAAAAGTTTCCCAACCCCTGCTCTAGCGTATATTTTTATTTATGGTGGTGTTTTTTGTAGAGATGAGGGGCTCACTTTGTTACCCAGCCTGGTCCTGAAGCCTGGGCTCATGCAATCCTCTCGCCTCTGCCTGCCAAAGTGCTGGGATTACAGGCGTGAGCCACCATGCCCAGCCAGGGATTATTTTTTGTTTTTCGTTGGTTTTTTGTTTTGTTTTGTTTTGTTTTTGAGATGGAGTCTTGCTCTGTCGCCCAGGCTGGAGTGCAGTGGCACGATCTCGGTTCACTGCAAGCTCCGCCTCCCGGGTTCACGCCATTCTCCTGCCTCAGCCTCCCGACTAGCTGGGACTACAGGTGCCCACCACCTCGCACGGCTAGTTTTTTGTATTTTTTAGTAGAGACAGGGTTTCACCGTGTTAGCCAGGATGGTCTCGATCTCCTGACCTCGTGATCTGCCCGTCTCGGCCTCCCAAAGTGCTGGGATTACAGGCTTGAGCCACCGCGCCCAGCCAGAGAATTTCTGCATTATCTTGTCATATCTCAAGGCCCAGGAAAAGCCTGGGCAAAACTCTTGGTGGGCTTTTGTTACATTTCAGCCTTCGTATGAGGGCACTGGCTCTGTCAGCTTTTAAGATTTAACTTACCCCACCCAGTCAGCGCCGAAACAGTTGTGACGGAGGCCTACCTGTTCAGTTGCTAGTGAGACCAGGTGTGCCACAGGTAGAATGAATTCTATTCACTCCTATATTGAATGGCTACACCGAACCATGTTTTTCTTACGTCTACTCCCAACTTACGTGGGCAATTCCAACGCACGTCACAAAATCACATTTAAGGAGCCCTCCAGTCCCCGAGGACCTGTTATTAGGGAGGGGAATGAACACCAGAGCTTGATGTTCAACTTGGTGATAACTGTCGGTCACCCGGCTAAGACCTCAGGAATCTAATCATAATGAATTACAATGTCTTTCTATGATGCTGCATAATCTTAAGCCCTGACATCCGCAGAAATCTTAAGACATGACACATTTCTTTCACGTTGATTAGTCCACTGATCTTTTTTGTGTGGGTTCCTGGAGGGAGTTGACATCATTCCTACTTATTTGCATTTCTATGTATTTGATGGATGCGAAAATGGATGAATCCATTTCATGGGGTTTAAATGTTATACAAAAACTGCATGCTAGTGTAAATATTCTAAAAATTGCTTTTTTCATCTTTGTGTCGGCAATGTCTATGCACACCTTTTCAATGAAGTATTCTTTGAAAAATAGGTGTGCTAGAGATGATTAAACTATTTCCTCCTTGATAGACTTTTGGATTGCTTTCAACTATTTCTTTCTTTCTTTTTTTTTTTTTTTTTGATACGGAGTCTTTCTCTGTTGCCCAGGCTGGAGTGCAATGGCATGATCTTGGCCCACGGCAACCTCCACCTCCCAGGTTCAAGCAATTCTCTTTGCCTCAGCCTCCCAAGTAGTTGGGATTACAGGTGTCCACCACCATACCCTGCTAATTTTTTTTGTATTTTTAGTAGACACAGGGTTTCACTATGTTGGCCAGGCTGGTCTCGAACTCCTGGCCTTGTGATCTGCCCGCCTTGGCCTCCCAGAGTGCTGGGATTACAACATGAGCCACCATGCCCGGCCACTTTAAACTATTTCTTTAATGCAACCAACAACAGTCTTCACATGTACATCTTGGTCAGCCTCCCTGAAAGGACTGTATGGGGAAGAATGAAAGAGAAAGTCAGCAGGTCCTTCTACGGCCAAACTACATGCCACTCTAGCTCTGGATTTTTCTTTCTTATACTCACTGTGTCAAAAAGATTAATTTTTCCTTTATTCTGATCCTATATGTTTTTTTAAAGAAAATTGTATATACACAGGGTAAGAATGGAGGTACAGAATATAATTCAATCTCTGCCCCCCACATAAATCCCATGTAATTAAAAAAGCAATTCCTGTCTAGGCACGGTGATTCAGCCTGTAACCCTAGTACTTTGGGAGGCCAAGGCAGGAGGATCGCTTGAGCCCAGGAATTCAAGACCAGCCTGGGTAACATGGAGAATCCCTGTTTCAACAAAAAATACAAAAATTAATCAGGTGTGGTGGCGTGTGCCTGTAACCCCAGCTCCTCAGGAAGCTGGAGTGGATCACCTGAGCCCGGGAGTTAGAGGCTGCCATGAGCTGTGTTCAGACCACTACACTCCAGCCTGGGCGACAGAGTGACACCCTGTCTCAAAAAAATAAATACAAAATAAAAGCAACTTCCTTTTTTCCAAGTCATGGAAACATACAGGGCTCTTATTTGAGGCCATGAGTCTTCCAGGAATGAAATGAGAAATCTCATGATGGTTTTTCTGAGTGTTTTATTTAAATGAGGACATCTTAGAGTCACCAGAGCCCTATGGCCCTAACCTGGGTAGGGAACACCAGCCCTGGGTTTCCGAGTAGGTTTTCTCCAGTTTAACGAAGAGGTGTTTTCTCTCTTCTCCCTTCCGTGCAGAGCACCAGAGAGCAAAGAGCTCCATTGCTGGTGGCAAGACTTATGCTCTGTGTTTGCAACGAATGATAAGCTGGAAGCCCTGACTTTGACCAGCAGTGCTTTGGGGCCTCCCTTTTTGAAGGCTCTTGCTGCCGCACTGAAGCACCCTCAGTGTAAACTGCAAAAGCTACTGTGAGTATAACACAAATCCCACTGGAAGGAATTCTATGGAGATGGGCTGTTTCCCATCCACTTTCTTCATTCCCTCTCCACTCACACTAGACTTCCCGAAGGCACCCATGTCCAGCCTTGGACAGAGGCATGGGAGGAGTCAGTCATGGGGTGCGTGGTGAGGGAAACCACAAACTGGAGCCAGGCTGCCAGCTCGACCTGTCTCTAGTTACTCTGAGGTTGGTGCAAATGCCATTGCAGTTTTTGCCATTAGTGATATTTGCACCAACCTAATAACTCTGTGTCCTTAAGTGAATGGTATATACAATGTGTCATGGAATTCCTGGCATCTTCCTGATGTGTGTCAACGCATCCGTCCATAAAATGATCAGCGTCGTGCTGTGGCTCATGCCTATTCACTTCAGCTCAGGTGTTCGAGACCAGTCCCGGCTACTTGGGAGGCTGAGGTGGAAGGATCACCCGAGCCCAGGAGGCAGAGGTTGCAGTGACAGTGAGCTGTGATCTGGCCACTGCACTGCTGCCTGGGTGACAGAGTGAGGCCCTGTCTCAAAACAAACGAACAATAAATAAAATTAAATGATCATCATGACGGAGAGATTAAATGCAGTCCTGCACGCGAAGCCTGTAGGACCGTGCCCTAAGTGGAACCAGCACTGCGTGACCCAGGGTGTGGTGGTTACTCTGTGGAGAGACACTGCCTTATGGAAGCCGCGTGTGACCTGAGCACTGAGTATGGTTCACTGCTGCATTCCTTTAAAGTATTAATATGTACTATTATTCCCCCTTCTTTTAAAAAACAGAGTCTCACTCTGTTGTCCAGGCTAGAGTGCAGTGGGGGGATCTCAGTTCACTACAACCTCCCCATCCCAGGTTCAAGTGATTCTCCTGCCTCAGCCTCCCGAGTAGCTGGGACTACGGGGATGCACCACCACGCCCGGCTAGTTTTTGTATTTTTAGTAGAGATGGGGTTTCACCATGTTGGTCAAACTGGTCTCGAACTCCTGACCTCAAGTGATCTGCCCTCCTCAGCCTCCCAAGGTACTGGGATTACAGATGTGAGCTGCCACGCCCAGCCCCCCCTTTTATTTTTTTAGCAAAGTGAGAGCTGAAGAGGTTAAGTGATTTGTCTAAGATCCTGCAGCTGACAAGTCTTAGGTAAAGCACTCCACCGCAGACAGCCCAAAGCTCATCTTCACCAACACTGTGCTTCTCTAACTCACCACCATTAGCAGGTGCCTGCGTAGGGTAAGCCTCACCAAAGAGGGCATGTTTGAACTGGGTTGGGAAGGAAGAGATTTACATGGAGGAGGAGAAACACTGCTTCATTTCTTTTCCAAGTGGGATCTTGCTCTCTTGCCCAGGCTGGAGTACAGTGGCATGATCATGGCTCACCGCAACCTTGACCTGGGCTCAAGCAATCCACCTACCTCAGCCTCTCGTGTGGTTGGGGCCACAGACATATCCCACCATTGCCCAGCTAATTTTTTTAAAATTTTTTTGTAGAGACAAGGTCTCCCTATGTTGCCCAAGCTGGTTTTGAACTTTTGATCTTTTTTTTTTTTCTTTTTTTTGAGACGGAGTCTCGCTGTGTCACCCAGGCTGGACTGCAGTGGCTGGATCTCGGCTCACTGCAAGCTCCGCCTCCCGGGTTCACGCCATTCTCCTGCCTCAGCCTCCCGAGTAGCTGGGATTACAGGTGCCCGCCACCTCGCTCAGCTAGTTTTTTGTATTTTTTAGTAGAGACGGGGTTTCACCATGTTAGCCAGGGTGGTCTCGATCTCCTGACCTCATGATCCGCCCATCTCGGCCTCCCAAAGTGCTGGGATTACAGGCTTGAGCCACCGCACCCGGCTCGAACTTTTGATCTTAAGTGACCCACCCGTCTCGGCCTCCCAAAGTGCTGGGATTATAGGTGTGAGCCACCGCACCCAGCCACTATTTTTAACAACATAAGAGTGAACATGTATGCATTCCCCACCGTCTGCTAGGCTATCTTAGGTTCTTTGCACATGAATGCTCTTAAAACTCACCCCAAGCAGTAGGTGTCCCTATTTCACAGATGAAGAAACTGAGGCATGAGGTTACATCATTACTAAGCGGTCAAATCTGGCTCCAGAATCAGTTCTCTTAGCCACTACTCCATATGCTGTCTCTCTAGAGTTTTTAAGATCCAAAAACCCTATAATTCACCATGTGAACCACTGGCCCCTTCCTTGAAATAAGCTACCAGGCATCCACATGGCTCCTGGCCATTATCAGATATATGTTCTCTCCTGTTACTATAATGGTTATTATTCGCTCCTGCTTACTGGCTGCCTTCTATGTGACAAACACTGGGCTGAGAAGTTCATGGCATGAATTCTCACAGCTATCCTAAGGAGAACATGTCATATGCTCTCCCTCCTAGACCTGAAACTGAACTTTAGGGAGGTTACGTGACTTGTGAAAGGTGGTGCGACTAGGGCTGTTGAACTGAGCTGAGAACTCAGTTCTGAATTCCATGTTGCACAGAAGGGGCCCCTCCTCATGGACTGATTAAATGCAGAAGAACTAGTTAGCTGGCCTGGCGCGGTGGCTCACACCTGTCATCCCAGCACTTTGGGAGGCCGAGGCGGACAGATTGCCTGAGCTCAGGAGTTTGCGACCAGCCTGGGCAACCTGGTGAAACCCTGTCTCTACTAAAAATAAAAAAAAAAAAATTAGCTGGGTGTGGTGGCATGCATCTGTAATCCCAGTGACGTGGGAGGCTGAGGCAGGAGAATTGCTTGAACCTGGGAGGCGAAGGTTGCAGTGAGCCAAGATTGCGCCACTGCGCTGCAGCCTGGGTCACAGAGCAAGACTGTCTCAAAAAAAAAAAAAAAAAAAAGGAAAGGAAAAAAAATAACTAGTTAACCACCTCCATTATGATGATGGCATCACGAATATCTGCATAGTCCAAACTCATCAAATTGTATATATTAAATATATGCAGGGTTTTGTATATCAATTATACCTCAAGCAAACTGTTTTTAAACAACTAATTAGAAAGAGGTTCAGCATCAAATGTAAGCATTAGAGGTGCAGAGCAAATCTGTGTCCCTAATTTTAGAAAAGGAGCATGATAGCAAGCAGTGGTGGCTCATGACTGTAATCCCAACACTTTGGGAGGCTGAGGCAGGAGAATCACTTGAACCCAGGAGGCAGAGGTTGCAGTGAGCTGAGATCGCGTCACTGCACTGCAGCCTGGGCAACAGAGTGACTCCGTCTCACAAGGGGGAAAAAAAGTAGCTGAGCTTTGTTATTAAAATAAAGAAATATAAATAAAAATTTTAAAACAAAAAGCATGATTTTAGGAGAGTGTGGGGAAAAATAGTCCTCTGAACCTTCAGGAATAGGATGACATTCCCTTTGCTTTAGGAAAGGCTTCATGGACCTCAGCCTAATCGAATTTGATCCTGTGAGTCATTCTTTTGTTTTTTTTGAGACGGAATCTCACTCCGTCGCCCAGGCTGGAGTGCAGTGGCACAATCTCGGCTCACTGCAAGCTCCGCCTCCCAGGTTCACGCCATTCTCCTGCCTCAGCCTCCCAAGTAGCTGGGACTACAGGCGCCTGCCACCTCGCCCGGCTAATTTTTTTGTATTTTTAATAGAGACAGGATTTCACCATGTTTGCCAGGATGGTCTCGATCTCCTGATCCGCCCGCCTCAGCTTCCCAAAGTGCTGGGATTACAGGCGTGAGCCACTGCGCCCAGCCAAGTCATTCATTTAAAAAAAATTTTTTTATTATACTTTAAGTTCTGGGGTACGTATGCAGAACGTGCAGGTTTGTTACATAGGTATGCACGTGCCATGGTGGTTTGCTGCACCCATCAACCCATCATCTACGTTAGGTACTTGTCCTAATACTCTCCCTCCCCTGGCTCCCCAGCCTCCGACAGGCCCCGGTGTGTGATGTTCCCCTCCCTGTGTCCATGTGTTCTCTTGTTGAACGCCCACTTACACGTGTGAACGTGCGGTGTTTGGTTTTCTGTTCTTGTGTTAGTTTGCTGAGAATGATGTTTCCAATCCAAATGCCCATCAGTGTTAGACCAGATGAAGAAAATGAGCCATTCATTTTGGCTTACAGTTTTCCCAGGATAGGACCTGAATAATCACAGGTTTATATCACTCTTTAATGTCTGTGTCCTGAATTCAGTTGTAAACCCCCTGAGGGTGGGACCGCACCTGTCCCACATGCAGCTGTAGCTTCCGGGAGCCTCCTTTGTGAGGCCGCAGAATTCTACAAGTGTACACAGGACCCTATTCCAAGGAGACGCTCTTCCCTCTCCAGCTTAAGGCGTGTGAATAGCGCTATGTTGAATCAGGACTTAATCGGTGTTTTAATGGGGAACCAGCATCTGAGATACTTGGAAATACAACATGTGGAAGTGGAGTCCAATGTTGTGAAGCTTCTGTGCAAAGCGCTGAGATCCCCCCGGTGCCGTCTGCAATGTCTCAGGTAAGATTTGAGACGGCAGGTGGAGTGGGAATCGGGGTACCGGGATGGTCTTTTCAGGGGTGGTGTTGAGAGGCTCAGTTTCCCTCTCTTTTCTTTGATCTGTTGTTGGCTTTGTTCAACTTTAAAAGTACAATTTGAGCCAGACATGGTGGCTCATGCCTATAATCCCAGCACTTTGGGAGGCCGAGGCGGGAGGATCACGAGGTCAAGAGACCAGCCTGGCCAACATGGTGAAACCCCATCTCTACTAAAAGTACAAAAAATTAACTGGTGTGGTGACAGGCTAATCTCAGCTACTGTAATTATGGGCTGTAATCTCAGGTACTTGGGAGGCTGAGGCAGGATAATCGCTTGAACCCAGGAGGTGGAGGTTGCAGCGAGCCAAGATTGCACCATTGCACTCCAGCCTGGGTGACAGAGCGAGACTCAGTCTGAAGAAAAAAAAAAAGAAAAAAGTACTATTTGACCATGTTCTAGATCCATCTGATACCAGGAAACCTGAGCCCCAGCAGTGAACCGGAGCACCTCCTTCTGGATTGTAAAAGCTGGATATTTTCTAACTTTTTATTTTAATTTTTGTGAATACATAGTAGGTGTACATATTTGTGGGGTACATAAGATGTTTTGGTTCAAGCTTGCAATGTGAAATAATCACATCTTAGAGAATGGGAGATCTAGCCCTTCAAACATTTATCCTTTGTATTACAAACAATTGATTTATACTTTTAGTTATTTTGGAACGTACAATTTATTATTAACTATAGTTCCTCTGTTGTGCTAGCGAATACTAGGTCTTATTCTTTTTTAACCTCTTAACCCGTTTATGCCTAAGGCTGCAATATTTTGAAATTTTTCAATCAGACCTTGGTGATGACCTTGAGCAGTGAGTTATAAATGACTCCCACATGCTTAGTGTTCCAATAATGGAACACTAGGCATAAATGGCTTTAACAATCCTGACCTTCCCCTGCTCTCCACCCTCCCACTACCCTTCCCAGTCCCTGATAACCATCCTCCTACTCTCTATGTCCATGAGTTCAATTGTTTTGATTTTTAGATCCCAAAAAATAAGTGAGAACCTGTGGTTTCTCTTTCTGTGCCTGGCTTATTTCACTTAACAGAATGATCTCCAGTTCCATCCATGTCATTGCAAATGACTGAATCTTACTCTCTTTCATGGCTGAATGGTACTCCATTGTGTATATGTACCACATTTTCTTTATCCATATATCTGATGGACACTTAGGTTGTTTCTGAATCTTAACTACTGAGAACAGAGCTGCAACAATCGTGGTAGTACATACATCTCTTTGATGGACTGATTTCCTTTTCTTGGGGTATACACCAGCAAGGGATGACTGGATCACATGGCAGCCTGCACGAGCTGATTTTTCATCATTCAAGAATTTCATGAGCCAACTGTTAACGTTTTCAAAAATGAAATCATAGGCTTACAAATATATTAAACAACAAAAGTCATAGAGAATCAAAATGCATTGTTTCCTAATTATTTTATGGTTCATTATTATCCCTGCTAGGGTTCAGCAAACTTTTTCTATGGCAAGCCAGATAAGAAACACTTTTGGCCTCTGGGGCCATGCCGTCTCCGTCCTGATGGCTCCTCTCTGCCATTGCAGTGCCAAGGCTGCCAGAGTTCGTAGGTAAACAAATGGATACCGCTATGTTCCAATAAAACTTTATGTACACTGAAACATGAATTAATACAATTTTCATATGTCACAAAATATTCTTCTTTTAATCATTTTTTAACCATCTAAACATTTTTGTGGGAGCTGGACAAGGTGGCTCATGCCTGTAATCCTAGCCCTTTGGGAGGCTGAGGCGGATGCATCACCTGAAGTTGAGAGTTCAAGACCAGCCTGGGCAACATGGCGAAACCCCTTCTCTACTAAAAATAAAAAAATTAGCTGGGTGTGGTGGTGCGCACCTGTAATCCTAGCTACTCGGGAGGCCGAGGCAGGAGAATTACTTGAATCCGGGAGGCGGAGGTTGCAGTGAGCCAAGATTGCTCCATTGCACTCCAGCCTGGGTGACAGAGCAAAAACTCCATCTCAAAAAAAATAAAATAAAATAGGCAGGGCACGGTGGCTCATGCCTGTAATCCCAGCACTTTGGGAGGTCGAGGCGGGTGGATCACCTAAGGTCAGGAGTTTGAGACCAGCCTGACCAACATGGTGAAACCCCGTCTCTACTAAAAATACAGAATTAGCTAGTTGTGGTAGCACATGCCTGCAATCCCAGATACTCAGGAGGCTGAGGCAGGAGAATCACTTGAATCCAGGAAGTGGAGGACGCGGTGAACCGAGACTGTGCCATTGCACTCCTGCCTGGGCAACAAGAGCAGAACTCTGTCTCAAAAATAATAATAATAAATTAAATAAAATAATGTTTTATTTGAAAACATTCTTAGTTGATAATGCTGTAGAAAACCAAGTGGTACTCTAGAGGAGTCCCACGAGCCACCGCTTGCCAGCTCCTGACCACTGCCCTGGGGCTGCTGCCACCGTCTACCGTACCCATTTGGTGGAAACAGGATGTCATGGGGCACTGCTCTGCACCTCCTGCCAGCTCCTCACTCAGTGACCTCCCACTGTGAGCTGAAAATCAGCCATGGCAGAGGCATTTATACCACAGGCACCGGCAAACACTGCACATCAGGACTCCCTTCTCCAGAAGGAGAAGTGGTTAAACATTTAGTGCCATGCGCCTACTCAGACTCTACCTTTTTGGTTTGTTTATATTCATAGTTTTTAGGATACAGGTGGTTTTTGGTTACATGGGTAAGTTCTTTAGTGGTGATTTCTAAGAATTTAGTGCACTTGTTACCCGAGTAGTATACTCTGTCCCCCTTAGGTAGTCTTTTATCCCTCACCTCCTTCCAACCTTCACCCCAACCACAAGTCCCCTGAGTCTATTATATCATTCTTATGCCTTTGCATCATCATAGCTTAGCTCCCACCTGTAAATGAGAACATACAATGTTTGGTTTTCCATCCCTGAGTTACTTAGAATAATGGCCTACAGCTCCATCCAAGTTGCTGCAAGAGACATCATTTCATTCCTTTTTCATGACTGAGTAGTATTCCGTGGTGTGTGTATACCACATTTTCCTTATCCACTCTTTGGTACTCAAGTGGGTTCCATATCTTTGCAATTGTGAATTGTCCTGCTATAAACATGCATGTGAAAGTGTCTTTTTCACATAAAGACTTCTTTTCCTTTGTGTAGTTGCCCAAAGATCGAATGGTAGCTCCACTTTTAGTTCAGACCCCACTTTCCAGCCTTTCCATGTGTGAACCTTCTCTCAACAGAATTTGTATGACCTCTCGTTTTGTTTTCATCTGCCATGGTTGCTCCTTTACATCCAACAGAGCTGAATGTAGCTTGGATGATCTCTGCATTTCATTGCCTTTCTTGCACAGAACAGAAAGCTCAGGTGACTGGAACCTGGAGGGTGGTAAGCACAATGCTTCACTGAATGTCTTTATATAAACAGCCCACCTTGAGGCCGAAATCCAGCCTGAGAAGACAGTGGCCGTGAGGCTTAGGAAAAATTCCCTGACGTCACTGAATCTAAGTTCTTCACCTTGATGATGACTGGCAAATCAATGCACAAAGTATGAGACAGGAGAAGTAAGCATTGAGGTCTACTGCACAGCAGGCTGACTCTAACTAATAATAATGTGATATTTCAAAGTTGCTAAAGGAGTAGATTTTTAACATTCTCACTACCAAAAAAATTAAGTAGGTGAGATGATGGATATGTTCATTAGCTTGATTGACTCTTTCTATAATGTACACATAAATGAAAATATTACATTGGACCCCATAGATATACACCATGATCATTTTCCAGCCAACTTGTTTTGAAATTTGTATTTCAAGGAGCTGAATGGAGAGAGTTAGAGCTCAGTCGTTATTGTAGTCCAGTTGATGACAAGAGGGGGTTGTTTTCTGCTGATGACTTGGTAGGAAGTTCCTGAGCTTGGTGCAGGTGTGCCGGCTGGAAAGTTGGAAATAATCCCCCGAGGCTCTGCTGTGAAGACCAAGATGTGAGACAGTGGGATCCTAGAGGCTCTACGGGTACCATTTTCCCCAGAGCCACGGCTCAGTATTTGTGTCTGGCTTCTACAGGTTGGAAGACTGCTTGGCCACCCCTAGAATTTGGACTGATCTTGGCAGTAATCTTCAAGTTAACAGACATCTAAAGACTCTCATACTAACAAAAAACTCCCTGGAGAACTGTGGGGCGTGTTACCTGTCTGTGGCCCAGCTGGAGAGGCTGTCGTAAGTCTTTCTGGTGGCTGTGGTGGTTGTGGTGGTGGTGGTGGTGGTGGTGGTGGTTTGGTAGATTTAGTGCTTCTGTGAGAAAAGCAGTCATAGGGAAGGTACATGTATAGGAGCAAACGTAAGTCTTGTGATCGATGTAATTATATAGATAGGTCAGTAAGGGTCCAGCCAAGAATGAAGGAGAAAGAACATATCTACATAAAAGTATGGATTTATACCTAATATGCTATAATATATCAAGCATAGTGAGTCCTATGTATCCATCATCCCGTTTATGAAATAGAAGTCATCAGTTCTGTTTTCCTCTGTCCTCACTGGTTTCATCAACCTTGCCCCTGACCCTACTATGATGACATATTTAATCAGGCTGATCAGGCTCCTTAATTTATGTATAGTATTAATATTACTACCCATGTATCCTTAAACAGGCATCACATCGTTTTGCGTTGCTTTCAATTTTACATAAAAAGGCCAGGTGTGGTGGCTCACGCCTGTAATCCCAACACTTTGGAGGCCGAGGCGGGCAGATCACCTGAGGTCAGGAGTTTGAGACCAGCCTGGCCAACGTGGTGGAACCCCATCTCTACTAAAAATACAAAAATTAGCCAGGTGTGGTGGTGTGCACCTGTAATCCCAGCTACTCAGGAGGCTGAGGTAGGAGAATCGCTTGAACCCTGGAGGCAGATGTTGCAGTGAGCCGGTATCTCACCACTGCACTTCACGCTGAATGACAGAGTGAGATTCCATTTCAAAAAAAAAGGATTTTACATAAAAGCATCACCTGTGATGTGTTTTTTTTCCTGATCTATATCTTAGTGTTCATCTGTTGAGTTGCTTCTATGTTAATTCCTCTTCACTACAGAATGATATTGATATGAATATCCAAGAATTTAGTTATTCATTCTACTCACAGTTGAGGTTTGAGCTGCTTCCAATTGTTGGCTACACACAGAGACACACACACACACACAACACGCACATGCACACACGTTGTGATGAACATTCTAAGAACAGAATTGCTGGGCCATGGTGAGTATTCATCTTCAGTTTTTCTGGATTTGTTTCCAGCATGTACCAGTTGGCCAGAGCAATGGGTATGAAAGTGCCCCTAACTCCAAATTCTTCTCCAAGTCTTATTATTATCAGTGTTTTTGTTACTGTTGTTGACAATCTGTTAGGCAGGAAATGGTACCTTATGGTTTTAATTTGCATTTCCTTGATTACTAGTGACTATTTTTTTATCATCTGACTGTTCATCTTAGTTTCTCTAATTTGCATGTCTTCCCATGTATTTAATGTGTCTTTCCTTTATTATAACTTTGGAAATTATGTCTCTTCTTAGGCCATCTCCATGTCTGCTATTTGTTCTTTGATTATTGGTGGTCTCTTTCTCTTCCCTCTTAATCCCATATATTTATTTTCTATGTTTTAATTTTTTTTTTTTTTGAGACAGAATCTTGGTCTGTTGCCCAGGCTGGAGTGCAGTGGCATGATCTCAGCTCACTGCAAGCTCTGCCTCCTGGGTTCAAGTGATTGTCCTGCCTCAGCCTCCTGAGTACCTGGGTAGCTGGGATTACAGGTGCCTGCCACCATGCCCAGCTACTTTTTGTATTTTTAGTAGACATGGGGTTTTGCCATGTTGGCCAGACTGGTCTTGAACTCCTGTCTGCAGGTGATCCACCTGCCTTGGCCTCCCAAAGTGCTGGGATTACAGATGTGAGCCACCGCACCTAGTCTTTTTTTTTTTCAGGTTTTAATTTTTATTTCAATAAGTTTTGGGGGAACAGGTGGTGTTTGGTTACATAAGCTTTTTAGTGGTGATTTCTGGGATTTTGGTGTACCCAACACCCAAGCAGTGTACACTGTACCCAATGTATAGTCTTTTGTCCCTTGCCACCCCCCACCATTTCCCCCAAGTCCCCAAAGTCCTGTGTATCATTCTTATGCCTTTGTGTCCTCATAGCTTAGCTCCCACATATGATTGAGAACATACTATGTTTGGTTTCCATTCCTGAGTTACTTCACTTAGAAAAATAGTCTCCCACCACGCGCGATGGCTCACGCCTGTAATCCCAGCACTTTGGGAGGCCGAGGCAGCGAATCACGAGGTCAGAAGATCGAGACCACAGTGAAACCCCGTCTCTACTAAAAATACAAAAAATTAGCCAGGCTAATTTGCGGTGGTGGGCACCTGTAGTTCCAGCTACTTGGGAGGCTGAGTCAGGAGAATGGCGTGAAATCAGGAGGTGGAGCTTGCAGTGAGCCAAGGTCGCACCACTGCACTCCAGCCTGGGCAACAGAGCGAGACTCTGTCTCAAAAGAAAAAAAAGAAAAATAGTCTCCAATTCTACCCAGGTTACTGCAAATGCCATTATTTTGTTGCTTTTTTATGGCTGAGTAGTATTCCATGGGGTGCGTGTGTGTGTGTGTGTGTGTATCACATTTTCTTTATCCACTCGTTGATTTATGGGCATTTGGGCTGGTTCCATATTTTTACAATTGCAAATTGTGCTGCTATAAACACGTGTGTGCAAGTATCTTTTTCATATAATGACTTCTTTTCCTCAGGGTAGATACCCAGTAGTGGGATTGCTGCATCAAATGGTAGTTCTACTTTTAGTTCTTTAAGGAATCTCCACACTGTTTTCCATGGTGGCTGTACCAGTTTACATTTCCATCAACAGTGTAAAAGTGTTACCTTTTCACCAACACCTATTTTTTTAATTGTTTTATTATAGCCGTTCTTGCAGGAGTGAGGTGGTATCTCATTGAGGTTTTGATTTGCATTTCCCTGATACTTATTCATGTCAAGCATTTTTCCATTTGCTTTTTGGCCATTTGCATATCTTCTTTTAGGAATTGTCTATTCATGTCCTTAGCCCACTTTCTGATGGGATTTTTTTTTTTTCTTGCTGATATGTTCTTTGTAGATTCTGAATATGAGTCTTTTGTCAGATGTATAGATTGTGAAGATTTTCTCCCACTCTGTGGTGTTGCAGGAAGTCAGGGACCCTGAATGGAGGGACCTGATGCAACCATAACAGAAGAACATAAATTGTGAAGATTTCATGGACATTTATCACTTCCCCAATCAACACTCTTATTAATTTCCTATACCTGTCTTTACTTTAATCTCTTAATCCTGTCATCTTTGTAAGCTGAGGATGTATGTCACTTCAGGACCTGTGATGATTGCGTTAACTGCACAAATTGTTCGTAAAGCATGTGTGTTTGAACAATATGAAATCTGGGCACCTTAAGAACAGGATAACAGAAATTTTCAGGGAACAAGGGAGATAACCTTAAAGTCTGGCTGCCTGTGGGTCAGGCAGGATGGAGCCATATTTCTCTTATTACCGAAAACGGGTAAGAGAAATATCTTTGAATTCTTTCCCTGGTAAGGAATATTAATAATTAACAGCCCTGGGAAAGGAATGCATTCCCAGGGAGGTGGGGAGGGGAGCCTCTAAAATGGCCACTCTGGGGGTGTCTACCTTATGCAGTTGCATATAAGGGATGAAACACGCCCTGGCCTCCTGCAGCGCTCACCAGGTTTGCTAGGATTAGGAAATTCCAGCCTGGTGAATTCTAGTCAGACTGATTCTCTGCTCTTGAACTCTGTTGAGATGCTTATCAATGACAATGTGTGCACAGTGGGACATGGAAATTCATTAGTAATTCTAGTTTCACCCTGACCTTGTGATCTTGCCCTGACCTTGTGATCTTTTGTTGCCCTTGAAGCATGTGATCTCTGTGACCCACACCCTATTCGTACACTCCTTCCCCTTTGAAAATTGCTAATAAAAACTTGCTGGTTTTACGGCTCAGGGAGCATCACGGAACCTGCCGACATGTGATGTCTTCCCTGGTCACCCAGCTTTAAAACTTCTTTCTTTTGTACTCTTTCCCTTTATTTCTCAGACCAACTGACACTTAGCAAAAATAGAAAAGAACCTACATTGAAATATCGGGGACTGGTTTCCCCTGATCCTGTGGGCTGTCTGTTAACTCTGCTGATTATTTCTTTTGCTGTGCAGAAGCTTTTTAGTCTAACAATTTTATTGATCCCCGATTTCTTCACCCCACCATTCCCATATCAAAGCTGCTGTCCTTTCCTTTAAAGCTTGGAAGTCCTAAGTGGTGATGACAGAGGTATGAGGATGCTTCTGCATTCACAGGGACAGCCCCGACTGAGATGATCACCCTTCTGTGTGAGACAAAGACCCCTCTCCATTTAGTCATCTGTGTGCTTCTCTCCCATAGGATAGAGAATTGCAACCTTACACAACTTTCTTGTGAAAGCCTTGCCTCCTGTCTCAGGAAGAGTAAGATGCTGACCCACCTGAGCTTGGCGGAAAATGCCTTGAAAGATGAAGGGGTCAAGCATATTTGGAATGCCCTGTCACACCTGAGATGTCCTCTGCAGAGGCTGGTGTAAGTTCCAGAATGTTTTCTTCTTGGAACTCCCTGGAGCAGAACAGGGTGATGAAGAGAACCTGTTATATGTTCATTTATGTCACATATTTATTAGGTGCCTACTACATGTTAGGCATGGTGCTGGTACTGAGGGGAAAAGCATAATAAAGAGGAGGGTTATTATTTCTGATTCAGAGGCAAATGATCTAGAGGCAGAGTTCTCAAACTGTGTACCAAGATACCCAGGAGTGAACTGAGAGGGACTGCAGGGTGTTTTAAATGTAAGGAATATTGACATCTATCTGTTCATCACTGTAAGAACGACTACCTCGAGGCATAAGAATTGAAGAAAGAGGAAAGAAACACAAAAGGTGGCTTGACAGTTAAGGACAGATTTATTTTAGAGAAAACAAACCTAAAAGGGGCTTCTGACCGAGTTAGGTTAGAGCTACACTCTCTTATAGACTAAGAGTTTTTAAGGATTCAGGGTGGGAGAGTTTATCAGAGGCTTGGACTGCTTCTGTGACTCTTGGTTGTGCTTATCTGGGAGGGAAAGTTGTGTGTCTGTTCCCATACATCTTCCTGCAGCTGCAGGCATTTCCACTGAGTCTGCTTTTAGCTTCCCTGTCTTAGTGCACCTGAAGGGAAAGGAATGTGCTATTAAGGTCTGCTGTTTTCCTGGGGCTCATGGTATGAGGGGGGAGTTTGGCAGTTACCTGAGAGACTTTCCCCCGCAACCTCCCTCTGTGCCCCAGCTGTCTTATCTGTGTTTTACTGTCTGCTCTTTGTAATTAGGAGAGAAGTGATTTCCTGGAAATGCATGAGGCTAGAAAGGGAGCTGGAACTTAAAGTGGTAGTGTCTGTCCAAGATGACGATGTTCCTGCTCTGTCACAAGGCAGTTCATTTTCATAGCTTGAAATCAGCCATGGCAGAAGTGTTTGTACCATGGAAACTGGCAGTTACTACACCCTAGGGCTTTTGTTTGTTTGCTCTAGAGAGCTGGTTTACTAGGACATCACTGAACCATAACCATTGAATCCGCTTCTTTGTTTCTTGTCTCACATGAGAATATGAGCTGCTAAAAGGCAGGGGTCCTAATTCCTGCCTTTAATTCCCATCCCCTAATTCAATGCCCAAAGCATAGTAAATCTCAGCAAATGATTGTGAGAGGCATGAGGTGGTGCAAAATAGCCCCAAAACATCGATACTTTTAGCTTCCCGAAAAGAAGCAGGGAAGGGTGCCACTGCTTTGGAAAGCAGCTGTGGCGATTCCTCAAAAGGTGAAACACAGACTTAATCTGTGAGCCATCAGTCCCACTTGTAGGTGTATCCACAAAAGACATAAAAACCCACCTCCACATGAAAACCTGCACACAGTTCACAGTAGCATTATTCATAATACTCATAATACCCAAGACCTGGAAACAACCTGGGTCTGTGCCCTGATGAAGGCATAAAGGAAGTGTGGTGTATTCACGTGATGGAATGTTATTTGTTAAATGAAATACTGATTCATGCTACAACATGGACAAATCTTCAAAATATTGTGGTAGATGAAAGAAGCTAAACGCAAAAGGTCACATATTGTATGACTCCATTTAAGTGACTTGCCAAAAATAGGCAAATCTAGAAAAAGAAAGCAAATTAGTGGTGTTAGGGTAGGGGTAGGTTGAGGGAAGAAGGGAGAAGTGGCTTCTAAAGTGTCCAGGGTTTTCCTTGAGGGGTGACAAAAATATTCTAAACTGAATTTACAAAAATATTCTAAAATTGTGGTGATGATCGTACAACTTTATACATAGACTGAAAACCAATGTTTGGTACACTTTAAATGGGTGAATTGTGTGGTATATTAATTGCATCTTGGTTATGCCATTATGCAAAAACAAAAAACAAACAACAAACAAATAAAAACAGAACCCAAAAACAAAGAAGTAAAACCTAAGGGTGTTTTCATTTTTTTTTTTTTACTTGTGTTTCTTTGCAGGTTGAGAAAGTGTGACTTGACCTTTAATTGCTGTCAGGATATGATCTCTGTGCTCTATAAAAATAAAACCCTGAAAAGTCTTGACCTGAGTTTTAATAGCCTGAAGGATGATGGAGTGATCCTGCTGTGTGAGGCCCTGAAGAACCCTGACTGTACATTACAGATCCTGGAGTAAGTGGCCCCTCATCTCCTCCTATGAGATAAGGAGAAATTGTATATAAGCATCTCTCAGGATGGAATATATAACAGGAAAGTGCTGTCTTTTTAAGTTTCTGGATCATTCCCTCCATTGAATTGGAGAACTGGGAAGCTTCTGAGCAGTGGTTCTCAAAGTGTGGATCAGCAGCAGTTTCGCCTGGGCAGGACAAATACAAATTTTGGGGCTCCACTTCGGACCTAGGAAATCAGAAACTCTGAGGGTGGGATGCAGCAATCTGTGTTAACAGTTGTTTTAGAAAATATTCTTCTAGTTGAATAAAAGATAACAGAGTTTGTCAGTTTTAGACTGATACCTACCTGATATGATTGGTCTTCTGAAATTGAATTTTATACTTAGGAGATATATACACACACATATGTATATAAAGATACATATATACATATATATACACATATATACATATATAAAGATACGCATATACACATACGTACCTACATATATAAAGATACGCATATACACATATACGTACCTATGTATATAAAGATATGCATATACACATATACATACCTACATATATAAAGATACGCATATACACATATACATATATGTATATAAAGATACCTATATGCATATCTATACACATATATATGTACAGACACATAGATACTTATTTTATAGATATTATTTATATGTATATACTTATTTTATATATTATACATATAAGTATATATAAGTATATATAAATAAATATATTAAAATACATATAAAATATGTAAATATACAATATGTTATATATTATATACTTTTTTATTCTTTTTTTATTATTATGCTTTAAGTTCTAGGGTACATGTGCCCAACATGCAGGTTTGTTACATATGTATACATGTGCCATGTTGGTGTGCTGCACCCATTAACCTGTCATTTACATTAGGTATATCTCCTAATGCTATCCCTCCCCGCTCCCCCCACCCCACGACAGGCCCTGGTGTGTGATGTTCCCCACCCTGTGTCCAAGTGTTCTCATTGTTCAATTCCCACCTGTGAGTAAGAACATGCAGTTTGGTTTTCTGTCCTTGCAATAGTTTGCTCAGAATGATGGTTTCCAGCTTCATCCATGTCCCTACAAAGGACATGAACTCATCCTTTTTAATGGCTACGTAGTATCCCATGGTGTATATGTGCCACATTTTCTTAATCCAGTCTATCATTGATGGACATTTGAGTTGGTTCCAAGTTTTTGCTCTTGTGAATAGTGCCGCAATAAACATACGTGTGCATGTGTCTTTATAGCAACATGATTTATAATCCTTTGGGTATATGCCCAGTAATGGGATGGCTGGGTCAAATGGTATTTCTAGTTCTAGATCCTTGAGGAATTGCCACACTGTCTTCCACAATGGTTGAACTAGTTTACAGTCCCACCAACAGCATAAAAGCATTCCTATTTCTCCACATCCTCTCCAGCACCTGTTGTTTCCTGACTTTTTAATGATCGCCATTCTAACTGATGTGAGATGGTATCTCACTGTGGTTTTGATTTGCATTTTCTGATGGCCAGTGATGATGAGCATTTTTTCATGTGTCTGTTAGCTGCATAAATGTCTTCTTTTGAGAAGTGTCTGTTCATATCCTTTGCCCACTTTTTGATGGGGTGGTTTGATATTTTCTTGTAAATTTGTTTAAGTTCTGTAGATTCTGGATATTAGCCCTTTGTCAGATGGGTAGATTGTAAAATTTTTCTCCCATTCTGTAGATTGCCTGTTCACTCTGATGGTAGTTTCTTTTGCTGTGCAGAAGCTCTGTAGTTTAATTAGATCCCATTTGTCAATTTTGGCTTTTGTTGCCTATGCTTTTGGTGTTTTAGTCATGAAGTCTTTGCCCATGCCTATGGCCTGAATGGTATTGCCTAGGTTTTCTTCTAGGGTTTTTATGGTTTTAGGTCTAATATTTAAGTCTTTAATCCATCTTGAATTAATTTTTGTATAAGGTGTAAGGAAGGGATCCAGTTTCGGCTTTCTACATATGGCTAGCCAGTTTTCCCAGCACTATTTATTAAATAGGGAATCCTTTCCCCATTTCTTGTTTTTGTCAGGTTTGTCAAAGATCAGATGGTTGTAGATGTGTGATATTATTTCTGAGGGCTCTATTCTGTTCCATTGGTCTATATCTCTGTTTTGGTATCAGTGCCATGCTGTTTTGGTTACTGTAGCCTTGTAGTATAGTTTGAAGTCAGGTAACATGATACCTCCAGCTTTGTTCTTTGGGCTTAAGATTGTCTTGGCAATGCGGGTTCTTTTTTGGTTCCATATGAACTTTAAAGTAGTTTTTTCCAATTCTGTGAAGAAAGTCATTCGTAGCTTGATGGGGATGGTATTGAATCTATAAATTACCTTGGGCAGCATGGCCATTTTCACAATACTGATTCTTCCTATCCATGAGCATGGAATGTTCTTCCATTTGTTTGTGTCCTCTTTTATTTCGTTGAGCAGTGGTTTGTAGTTCTCCTTGAAGAGGTCCTTCACATCCCTTGTAAGTTGGATTCCTAGGTATTTGATTCTCTTTGAAGCAATTGTGAATGGGAGTTCACTGATGGTTTGGTTCTCTGTGTGTTATTGGTGTACAGGAATGCTTGTGATTTTTGCACATTGATTTTGTATCCTGAGACTTTGCTGAAGTTGCTTATCAGCATAAGGAGATTTGGGGCTGAGACAATGGGGTTTTCTAAATATACAATCATGTCATCTGCAAACAGGGACAATTTGATTTCCTCTTTTCCTACTTGAATACCATTTATTTCTTTCTCCTGCCTGATTGCCCTGGCCAGAACTTGTAACACTATGTTGAATAGGAGTGGTGAGAGAGGGCATCCCTGTCTTGTGCCAGTTTTCACAGGGAATGCTTCCAGTTTTTGCCCATTCAGTATGATATTGGCTGTGGGTTTGTCATAAATAGCTCTTACTATTTTGAGATACGTCCCATCAATACCTAGTTTATTGAGAGTTTTTAGCATGAAGGGCTGTTGAATTTTGTTGAAAGTCTTTTCTCCATCTAGTGAGATAATCATGTGGTTTTTGTCTTTGGTTCTGTTTATATGCTGGATTACGTTTATTGATTTGAGTATGTTGAACCAGCCTTGTATCCCAGGGATGAAGCCAATTTGATTGTGGTGGATAAGCTTTTTGATGTGCTGCTTGGTTTGGTTTGCCAGTATTTTATTGAGGATTTTTGAATCAATATTCATTAGGTATATTGGTCTATAATTATCTTTTTTTTGTTGGGTCTCTGCCAGGCTTTAGTATCAGGATGCTGTTGGCCTCATAAAATAAATTAGGGAGATAGGGAGATTTCCCTCTTTTTCTGTTGATTGGAATAGTTTCAGAAGGAATGGTACCAGCTCCTCTTTGTACCTCTGGTAGAATTTGGCTGTGAATCCGTCTGGTCCTGGACTTCTTTTTGTTGGTAGGCTATTAATTATTGCCTCAATTTCAAAACCTGTTATTAGTCTATTCAGGGACTCAACTTCTTCCTGGTTTAGTCTTGGGAGAGTGTATATGTCCAGGAATTTATCCATTTCCTCTAGATTTTCTAGTTTATTTGCGTAGAGGTGTTTATAGTATTCTCTGATGGTAGTTTGTATTTCTGTGGGATCAGTGGTGATATCCCCTTTATCGTTTTTTATTGCATCTATTTGATTCTTCTCCCTTTTCTTCTTTATTAGTCTTGCTAGCAGTCTATCAATTTTGTTGATCTTTTCAAAAAACCAACTCCTGGATTCATTAGTTTTTTTAAGGGTGTTTTTTGTGTGTGTGTGTCTATCTCCTTCAGTTCTGCTCTGATCTTAGTTATTTCTTGCCTCCTGCTAGCTTTTGAATTTGTTTGCTCTTGCTTCTCTAGTTCTTTTAATTGTGATGTTAGGGTGTCAATTTTAGATCTTTCCTGCTTTCTCTTGTGGGCATTTAGTGCTATCAATTTCCCTCTACACACTGCTTTAAAAGTGTCCCAGAGATTCTGGTATGTTGTGTCTTCATTCTCATTGGTTTCAAAGAACATCTTTATTTCTGCCTTTACTTTGTTATATACCCAGTAGTCATTCAGGAGCAGGTTGTTCAGTTTCCATGTAGTTGAGTGGTTTTGAGTGAGTTTCTTAATACTGAGTTCTAGTTTGATTGCACTGTGGTCTGAGAGACAGTTTGTTATAATTTCTGTTCTTCCACATTTGCTGAGGAGTGCTTTACTTCCAACTATGTGGTCAATTTTGGAATAAGTGTGATGTGGTGCTGAGAAGAATGTATATTCTGTTGATTTGGGGTGGAGAGTTCTGTAGATGTCTATTAGGTCCACTTGGTGCAGAGCTGAGTTCAATTCCTGGATATCCTTGTTAACTTTCTGTCTTGTAGATCTGTCTAATGTTGACAGTGGGGTGTTAAAATCTCCCATTATTATTTTGTGGAAGTCTAAGTCTCTTTGTAGGTCTCTAAGGACTTTCTTTATGAATCTAGGTGCTCCTGTATTGGGTGCATATATATTTAGGATAGTTAGCTCTTCTTGTTGAATTGTTCCCTTTACCATTATGTAATGGCCTTCTTTGTCTCTTGATCTTTGTTGGTTTAAAGTCTGTTCTATCAGAGACTAGGATTGCAATCCCTGCTTTTTTTGTTTTCCATTTGCTTGGTAGATCTTCCTCCATCCCTTTATTTTGAGCCTATGCGTGTCTCTGCACATGAGATGGGTCTCCTGAATACAGCACACTGATGAGTCCTGACTCTTTATCCAATTTGCCATTCTGTGTCTTTTCATTGGAGCATTTAGCCCATTTACGTTTAAGGTTAATATTGTTATGTATGAATTTGATCCTGTCATTATAATATTAGCTGGTTATTTTGCTCATTAGTTGATGCAGTTTCTTCCTAACATTGATGGTCTTTACAATTTGGCATGTTTTTGCAGTGGCTGGTACTGGTTGTTCCTTTCCATGTTTAGTGCTTCCTTCAGGAGCTCTTGTAAGGCAGGGTTGGTGGTGACAAAATCTCTCAGCATTTGTTCGTCTATAAAGGATTTTATTTCTCCTTCACTTATCAAGCTTAGTTTGGCTGGATATGAAATTCTGGGTTGCAAATTCTTTTCTTTAAGAATGTTGAATATTGTCCCCCACTTTCTTCTGGCTTGTAGAGTTTCTGCTGAGAGATCTGCTGTTAGTCTGATGGGATTCCCTTTACAGGTAACTCGACCTTTCTCTCTGGCTGCCCTTAACATTTTCTCCTTCATTTCAACTTTGGTGAATCTGACAATTATGTGTCTTGGAGTTGCTCTTCTCGAGGAGTATCTTTGTGGCATTCCTGTATTTCCTGAATTTGAATGTTGGCCTGCCTCACTAGGTTGGGGAAGTTCTCCTGGATAATATCCTGAGAAATGTTTTCCAGCTTGGTTCCATTCTCCCCGTCATGTTCAGGTACACCAATCAGATGTAGATTTGGTCTTTTTGCATAGTCCCATATTTCTTGGAGGCTTTGTTCATTTCTTTTTATTCTTTTTTCTCTAAACTTCTCATCTCCCTCCATTTCATTCATTTGATCTTCAATCACTGATACCCTTTCTTCACTTGATCGACTCCCCTACTGAAGCTTGTGCATGCGTCACGTAATTCTTGTGCCATGGTTTTCAGCTCCATCAGGTCATTTAAGGACTTCTCTACACTGTTTATTCTAGTTAGTCATTCGTCTAATCTTTTCTCAAGGTTTTTAGCTTCTTTGTGATGGGTTTGAACATCCTCCTTTAGCTCAGAGAAGTTTGTTATTACCAACTGTCTGAAGCCTTCTTCTCTCAACACGTCGAAGTCATTTTCTATCCAGCTTTGTTCCATTGCTGGTGAGGAGCTGCATTCCTTTGGAGGAGAAGAGGCGCTCTGATTTTTAAAATTTTCAGCTTTTCTGCTTTGGTTTCTCCCCATCTTTGTGGTTTTATCTACCTTTGGTCTTTGATGATGGTGATGTACAGATGGGGTTTTGGTGTGGATGTCCTTTCCATTTGTTAGTTTTCCTTCTAACAGTCAGGACCCTCAGCTGCAGGTCTGTTGGAGTTTGCTGGAGGTCCACTCCAGACCCTGTTTGCCTGGGTATCACCAGTGGAGGCTGCAGAACAGCAAATATTGCAGAACAGCAGATGTTGCTACCTGATCCTTCCTCTGGAAGCTTCGTCTCAGAGGGGCACCCGGCTGTATGAGGTGTCAGTTGGCCCCTACTAGGAGGTGTCTTCCAGTTAGGCTGCTTGGGGGTCAGGGACCCACTCAGATCTCAAACTCTGTGCTGGGAGAACAGGGACCCACTCAGATCTCAAACTCTGTGCTGGGAGAACCACTACTCTCTTCAAAGCTGTCAGACGGGGATGTTTAAGTCTGAAGGAGTTTCTGCTGCCTTTTGTTCAGCTATGCCCTGCCCCCAGAGGTGGAGTCTACAGAGGCAGGCAGGCCTCCTTGAGCTGTGGTGGGCTCCACCCAATTTGAGCTTCCCAGCTGCTTTGTTTACCTACTCAAGCCTCAGCAATGGTGGGTGCCCCTCCCTCAGCCTCACTGCTGCCTTGCAGTTCGATCTCAGACTGCTGTGCTAGGAATGAGTGAGGCTCCATGGGCATGGGACCCTCCAAGCCAGGCGCGGGATATAATCTCCAGGTGTGCTGTTTGCTAAGACCACTGGAAAACTGCAGTATTAGGGTGGGAGTATTCTGATTTTCCAGGTACCATCTGTTACAGCTTCCCTTTGCTAGGAAAGGGAATTCCCCGACCCCTTGCGCTTCCCAGGTGAGGCAATGCCCCACCTGGCTCCATGGGCTACACTGACTGTCTGACAAGCCTTAGTGAGATGAACCCGGTACCTCAGTTGGAAATCTTGAAATCACCCGTCTTCTGCATTGCTCACACTGGGAGCTGCAGACTGCAGCTGTTCCTATTCAGCCATCTTGGAACCTCTCTCATATATTATATACTTATATATTATATGTTGTATATTTATATATACATAATTTATATTATATAAATATCTATTATATATTTATATATATTTAAAATATTTATATTAATTACATTAATATATTTATATATGAAAATATATAATGTATATATTTCCCTGTTTTTTATGGTCTCTTTGCTAACATGTACACCAGCCAGTGATATAAAAGCATTCATTCTCCTTTTAATTCTTTGGTTACCTTTAGTATTTGCAAAAGATTTGTAAACATCTCTCATGATCAAAAAATGAAACTAATTTTGCCTCTTTCGATCCAAATTTTTTGCTCGCCATTAGTGTAATCTTGGTATTTAATCTGGCTCGTTTAAATTATTGTCTTGTAGTACACCTTTCATTTCTAAGATTAGTTTGGATAATGGTGTTCATTTTTGTTGATGATTTGCTTCTCAAATTAAATTCAGTATGAATCACTGCCAGTCATGATTCTTTGACTCCTCAAATCTAGTTTGGGTTTTAAATGTTGATTTATCTCTTAGATTGAGTGAAATATATTTTCAGGTAGAAAAGAACTTTCTATACCTGAAAGTGTTTATGCAGTATTTTCTAAGTCTTTGCTTGTATGACATTATTTTTTTAATCTAGTTTCGGCCATGAGCAGTAACTTGGCTCAGTATAAAATTCATGGACCCTATCCGTCTTAGTCTGTTTTCTGTTGCTTATAACAGAATACCTGAAACTGCATGACTTATAAAGAAAGGGATATGGAGGCTGAGAAGTCCAAGGTGGAGGGGCTGCATCTGGTGAGAGCCTTAGTGCTGGTGCGGACTCTCTGCAGGGTCACTAGTGAGTCACTGGGCATACTGTATACGGGCTCAGATCTGTTTCCCTTTTTATAAAGCCACTCATCCCACTCCCATAATAACCCATTAACCCATTAATCTAATAATCCATGAATTTTACTCTTTGTTCAAGAACTCTCATGGGCCAGCATTGTATTGATGATGCACGGCACCTCTTTGAGACATGGTTGAAACAACAGTACGCATTCCTGTTAGTGTGATTTCTCGGCTGTAAGCCGTCACACCAGCTGAGCTCTCAGATGAGTCATGATGACTTCTCTGCTGTCTGTTTCTGTGTCACAGGCTGGAAAACTGCCTGTTCACCTCCATCTGCTGCCAGGCCGTGGCTTCCATGCTCTGTAAAAACCAACATCTGAGACATCTGGACTTGAGCAAGAACGTGATCGAAGTTGATGGTATTCTGACCTTGTGTGAGGCCTTCTCAAGTCAAAAGAAGAGAGAGGAGGTCATTTTGTAAGTCTCCACTGGGTTCCCTGTGCAAAACCAATCACCCAAGAGAAGCTCCTTGTAAAAAAATGAGATGCTGGACTGGGTGTGGTGGTGCATGCCTCTAATCCCAGCACTCTGGGAGACTGAGACAGGCAAATCGCTTGAGTCTGGAGCTCAGACTAGCCTGGGCAACATGGCAAAACCCTATCTTCTACTAAAAAATACAAAAATTAGCTAGGCATGGTGGTGCATGCCTGTAGTCCTAGCTACTCAGGACGCTGAGGTGAGAGGGTCACTTAGGCCCAGGAGGTTGAGGCTGCAGTGAGCCATGATCACACCACTGCGCTCCAGCCTGGGCAACAGAGTGAGACCCTGACTCTAAAAATAGAAAGTGAGATGGTGGACCTGGAATGCGATTGTTTCCGGTGTTGCTACCATTCTGCTTTTGTTTCCTGGGGATTTATAGTTCCCTCCGTGTAGCTGTTCAAACCCCCAACTCCCACTTTTACCTAAAGGAACTGTTAACTGGGATTCACCTGTCTGATATCTTCTTTCTTGTCTTTGTCTTCTCTTTTCTTCATTTCTTTACCTTTTCTTCCTGAACAACTGAGTTTGATGTTACCACTTACCAGCTACGTAGCAGTGAACAAGTCAATCTTTCTAAGCCTTGATTTGCTCATCCTTAAAACTGAAATGGTGTCTTTCCCCATGGAGATTTAATGATGACTGAAAGAAAAGTCACACACACACACACACACGGCACTTAGCACAGTGCCTAACACATGTTCTCAACCAGTGGTGGGTTCCAGGTGAAGGATACAATTTTCCTGGTGTATTAGTCATCTATTGCTATGCAACGAGTTACCTCAATGCTTAGTAACTTAAAGCAATATAAAGGCATATTGTCTTACACAATTTCTGAGGGTCAGAAATAGGACAGCGATGTGACTGGGTGGTTCTAGCTCGTGGTATCTCCCGAGGTCTCAGTTGAGCCACTGGCTGGGGTTTGATGACGGCTGTGGAATCTGCTTCCAGGCTCACTTGTGTGGCTGTGGGCTGGGGGTCTCAATTGTTCTCCAGGGAGTTTCTCATGACATTGCAGAACAAGAGGCTGAGAGAGGCAGAGGCAGAGGGAGACGATGGCACAGAGAGATGACTGACAGCCCAACACAGAGCTACAGTCTTTTATTACTTAATCTTGAAAGTGACATCCCATCACATCTGCCTTGTTCTATTGGCCACACAGTCTAGCCCTGGTCCAGTGAGAGAGGGAGCCACCCAAGGGTGTGATTTACAGGAGGAGGGATCATTGAGGCTGTCTTGGTTGAACCCCAAGGCACTTCAAATTCATTCCTGAGCTCCTGAGAGCACCCCTATTCATTTTGACCAACTGCATGGGGCCAGGGTGGTCTCCTAGGTGGTAAATTTCTGTTCTAGAGTTTTGCCTCCTTGTTTCAGGGCTGCAAAGGAAAACCAAATGTAAGAAAACAAAACCTTGTTTTTATCCTTCCCAGGGAGAAGAAAGACAGTAATGAAGTGGATATGCTGGTAAGACTGGAGGGTCCTGCAGTGGAAAGGGACTTCCTGAAGATAATACAGGACTGGAATTCTTAGCGCTACGGTGAAGCAATAGGGGATGAATCGACCTGGACCCTCTGGCGACGGATCTGGTGGTCCTCTGGGTATTTTTTTCCTAATGAGAAATTGGGAAACAGTTGCCTATTTTGTGGGCCGTCCTGAGTCTGGAATGGCTCCATTCATTCTGGGAACTGGTGTAGGGCATGACCTCCAAATAACCCTATCAATGTTACGGAGTGTCATGTGTTAACACACAGATTAGTCACTGCACTGGGGCACCAACGTAAGGCGAGTTCAACCCACATCTACTCCTGGCTACCAAAATGTCTTTGAATATGTCATGTAAACATCTCCTCTTGGAGATATGTCTTCATATCTTCAAGGTACTAGAAAATTTTAATTAAAAATATGCATGAATTAAATTGGAAATTTTTTAGAGTGTGATTTATTTACTGGTAGACTGGTCCATCAACTATTAAGGAAGAAACCTGTTCCTTTACTTGTCTGGGGAAAGTGTGCACAAGGAACTTCTAAGGAAGATAATAAATGTGGCAAGTACTGGAAAAAGGAAACCACCTCGTGTTTAAGGAGCTCTAAAAATGAAGTGTAACTCTTAACTTTTTAAGGTCCTAACTAACTACTACACTCTTAAATTAGTTATGGCAGCATTTAGAACTCAAAGATCTAGAAAGCAATCACAATTTTTTTTTTTCCCCTTCTGAAACAGCCATCTTTTTACAACGTAACAATCAGGTATCATTCAGGTTGGTTTCTTTCTTTTCTTTTTATTTTATTTTATTTATTTATATTTATTTATTTATTTATTTTTGAGACAGTCTCACTCTGTGGCCAGGCTGGAGTGCAGTGGCATGATCTCAGCTCACTGCAACCTCCATCTCCTGGGTTCAAGCGATTCTCCTGCCTCAGCCTCCTGAGTAGCTGGGCCTACAGGCATGCACCACCATGCCCAGCTAATTTTTTTGTATTTTTAGTAGAGACAGGGTTTCAGCATGTTGGTCAGAATGGTCTTGATCTCTTGACCTCGTGATCTGCCCCCCCGCCCCGGCCTCCCAAAGTGCTGGGATTATAGGCGTGAGCCACTGCACCAGGCCCAGGTTGGTTTCTTAATTCTGAAGAAATTTTATTTCAAAAGCCAGAGGAGTTGGGGTCCTCAACCCCAACCCTAGCAATCCCACTGCTAGGTATATACCCCGAATAAATCAGTAAATCAGAGAGATATCTGCAGTTCCACGTTTATTGCAGCTCTGTTCACAATAGCCAAGATTTGGAAGCAACCTAAGAGTCCATCAACAGATGAATGGACAAAGAAAACGTGGTGCTTATACACAATGGAGTACTATTCAGCCATGAAAAAGAAACCTAAGTGTAGAAACAATGGTATCATAGAAACAGTACACTGGTACTCAGGTATTGTTTTCTAAGTACCGTTCCTCATTAAAGGAACCAAGAATCTTCAGAAAAAGAGCTGACTCCACAGGTGGTGCTGGGAATGTACAGAATGGGTCTGGAACATCTTGTGCCAGAAGTAAGACAATGCTCAGAGAACAATGGGGCCAGGCCAGTGGTTCACACCTGTGTTCTCAGCACTGTAGGAGGTTAAGGTGGAGGGCTACTTGAGCCCAAGAGTTAGCAACCAGCCTGGGCAACACAGGGAGACCCCATCTACATTAAAAATGTTTTACAAATCAGCTGGGCCTGACGGTGCATGCCTGTGGTCCCAGGTATTTGGGAGGCTGACGTGGGACAATCACTTGAGCCCAGAGGTTCAAGGCTGCAGTGGTCCATGATGCATCACTCCACTCTAGCCTGCGTAACAGAGAGAGACACTGTCTCTGAAAAATAATAATAATAATAATGGAGACATAGCAATAGGAACAAGGAGCCTGATTGAATGAGTTCTCACTGGCCAAATCTGGAATAATTTAATCATCAAACTAAATAATGGTAGAAATGTGGATGGCAGTTATGAGACCTCAGTTCTTGTCTTCGTTTAAAAGAATTTAAACAATAGACACACAGCAAAGGAGGTGCAGCATAGGGAAATTTATTGCAAAGGAAAAAGAATATTTTGAAAGTAGGCCAGGCGCAGCAGCTCATGCCTGTAATCCCAGCACTTTGGGAGGCTGAGGCAGGTGGATTACCTGAGGTCAGAAGTTCGAGACCAGCCTGGCAAACATGGTGAAACCCTGTCTCCACTAAAAATACAAAAATTAGCCAGGCATGGTGGCACATGCCTGTAGTCCCAGCTACTCTGGAGGCTGAGGCAGGAGAATCACTGGAACCCAGGAGGTGGAGGATGCAGTGAGCCAAGATTATACCACTGCATTCCAGCCTGGGCAATACAGTGAGACCTCATCTCAAAAAAAGAAAGAAAGAAAGAAAGAAAGAAGGGAGGGAGGGAGGGAGGGAGGGAGGGAGGAAGGAAGGAAGGAAGGAAGGAAGGAAGGAAGGAAGGAAGGAAGGAGGGAAAAAGAAAAAAGAAAAGAGAGACAAGAAAAAAAAAAGAAAAGGGAGAGAAAAAGAAAAAAAAAAAAAAGAAAAAAGGAAAAGAACAAAGAAGAGAAAAAGAAAAAAAGGAAGGGAAGGAAAGGAAAGAGGAAGGAAAGGAAAAGGAAGGAAAAAGGAAGGAAAGGAAAGGAAGGAAGGAAGGAAGGAAGGAAGGAGACATTAGAAACCATCAGGAGGTGCTGAAACCAGTAGAGTGGAAGACTCAGTGTACTCGAGTCTTTAAGAGTTCTCCCAGAAACTACGTGTGAATTACAAAGTAAAAGGTAGTGGGAAAACAGGGCAGATGGTGCCTTAGCCAAGTGCTCAAAGTTAACATCACCAATGAACCAAATAGATATATCATGTGCCTGCGGATAAGATATTACTGGGAATAAACATGACAGGGCCTCAGTGACATGAAAAGAACGAAATAACACAAGAGTCGGCAGGAACTAGCACCCAGTTCAGGCCGGCCTGGTAGACTTGTTGATAAAATTCCAGGAAGGAAGGAAGGAAGGAAGGAAGGAAGGAAGGAAGGAAGGAAGGGAAGGAAAGAAAGAAGGAAGGAAGGAAAGAGAGAAAGAGAGAAAGAAAGAAAGGAAAAGAAAAAGAAAGGAAGGAAGGAAGGAAGGAAGGAAGGAAGGAAGGAAGGAAGGAAGGAAGGAGACATTAGAGAAACCATCAGGAGGTGCTGAAACCAGTAGATGGAGACTCAGTGTACTCGAGTCTTTAAGGTTCTCCCCAGAAACTACGTGTGAATTACAAAGTAAGAGTAGTGGGAAAACAGGGCAGATGGTGCCTTAGCCAAGTGCTCAAAGTTAACATCACCAATAAGAAGACAAATGGATATCATGTGCCTGCGGATAGAATGTGCTGAGATAAACATGACAGGGCCTCAGTGACATGAAAGAACAAGAACACAAAGTCGGCAGGAACTATTTCAGATTCAGGAAGACCAACCTAGTAGACGCAAAAAAAAAAAAAAAAAAAAAAAAAAGTTGATAAAATTCAACATCAATTTATGATTTTTAAACAACACTTAGCAAACTTGGAACCGATGGTGACTTATTTAATTTGAGGAAGGGCTTCTAAAAAATTACTGCTAATGTGTTTATTGGAGAGTAGTGAAAATTCTTTCCCTAACATAACAGTGAGACAGAAAGAAAAGGAACCAGCCACTGTCACAACTTTTATTTAACTTCGTACTGGAGGTCCTAGTCAGTGTAACAAGGCAATAAGAGGAATAATAAATACAACATTACAAAGATGGAAATAAAGCTGTCATTTTTCACAAACAATATGATTACATATGTAGAACAAGAACTGATAAGCCTGGTAAACTCAGGGAATTAAAAAATAACAAAAAGTGAATTTAATAAGATCCTACACACAACAACTCGATATATGAAAATAAAAATGTATTCCTATGTACTATTAAGCAGTTTTTAAAAGCATAACAAAATTTCTTTTATACTGGTATGAATAATCTCAAATAGGAATAAACTTAAAAGTTGTGGCCAGGTGCGGTGGCTCACGCTTATAATGCCAGCACTTTGGGAGGCCAAGGCAGGTGGATCGCCTGAGGTCAGGAGTTTGACACCAGCCTGGCCAACATGGAGAAACCCCGTCTCTACTAAAAATACAAAATTAGCTGGGCATGGTGGTGCATACCTGTGGTCCCGACTACTCCTGAGGCTGAGGTAGGAGAATCCCTTAAACCCAGGAGGTGGAGGTTGCGTTGAACCGAGAACGCACCATTGCACTCCAGCCTGGACAACAAGAACAAAATTCTGTCTCAAAAAAAAAAAAAAAGAAAAAGAAAAAAAAGATGTGCCTTGGCCAGGCCCAGTGGCTCATGCCTGTAATCCCACCCCTTTGGGAGGCCAAGTGGGAGGATCACTTGAGCCCAGGAGGTCAAGGCTGCAGTAAACCATGTTTGCACCACTGCACTCCAGCCTGGGCAACAGAGTGAGGCCCTGTCTCAAAAGACAAAAATAAAGAATACCTAATAAATGGAGAAATATACAAACTTCATGAATAGGAACACTGTCTTTCAAAGATGACAGTTTTCCTCGGCTGTATTCATAAAGTTATTGCAATGACCATAAAATTCCCAAAGTACACAAATGGAAATTTACAGGCAAATTCTAAAGTATGTGAAGAAAAGTGGCCAAGCACGGTGGCTCATGCCTGTAATCCCTGCACTTTGGGAGGCCCAGGTGAGCAGATCACAAGGTCAGGAGTTCAAGACCAGCCTGGCCAACAAGGCAAAACCCCATCTCTACTAAAGATACAAAAAATTAGCCAGGCGTGGTGGCAGGTGCCTGTAATCCCAGCTACTCGGGAGGTTGAGGTAGGAGAATCGCTCGAACCGGGGAAGTGGAGGTTGCAGTGAGCTGAGATCATGCCATTGCACTCCAGCCCGGGTGACAGTGCAAGACTCCGTCTCAAAAAAAAAAAAAAAAAGAAAAAGAAAAAAAAGAAATACAAAGAGTTCAGGATAGCTAGTACAGTATGGTATTTTCCATGCATTTAATTAGAGATTGGAGAAATATACTTGGGAAACAGAATAGAGTCCAGAACAGAAGGTCACAAACATGATCACGTGACTTCTGACAAACCGACACTCCAAAAGACTAGGGAAAGGGTAGTAAGGGTAGTATTTTAACAAATGGTGCCAGGTCACACATAGAAGAAAAAATCTGAATTCCTACCTCATACCATATACAAAATTAATTCCAAGTATAGTATAAATCTAAATGTGAAAGGAAAGACGCTATATACTTTCTAAAAGTGAACTAATCAGAAGACATTCATGGCCTAAGGAGAGACCATAAATTTAATATGCGTTCACCATAAATTCTTCAAATTGAATTTTCAAACACGTTTGGCCAGGCACAGTATTCCTGTAATCCCAGCGCTTTGGGAGGCCGAGGCTGGTGGATCACCTGTCGTCAGGAGTTCGAGATCAGTTTGGCCAACATAGTGAGACCCCCTCTCTACTAAAAATTCAAAAATTAGGTGGGAGTGGTGGTATACACCTGTAGTCCCAGCTACTCAGGAGGCTGAGGCAGGAGAATCCTTTGAACCTGGGAGGCGGAGTTTGCACTGAGCACTCCAGCCTGGGTCACAGAGCAAGAGTCCACATCAAAACAAACTAAAACTAAATACATTGGACTTTATCAAAAGTATAAACTTCTGTTTCAAGATTGCTAAGGGAGTACATTTCAAGTGTTCTCACCACAAAAAAAAAAATAAGTATTCAAGGCAACGGATGTGTTTGTTAGCTTGATTTAACCATTTGACATTGTGTACACAGAAGATCACACTGGACCCCACCAGAATATACAATTATAATTTGTCAATACACACACACACAAAAATGCCAAGTGCAACTTCCGGATTATGTAAAATAAGGGCACCCAACACACACACACACACACATACACACACACTGTCTCTCACACACTCATACACACTCTCACACACACACTGTCTCACAAACACACACTCTCACATTCTCTCTCATACAGTCTCACACACTCTCACACACAGTCTCTCACACACACACTCTGTCTCACAAACACACACTCTCACACATTCTCTCTCACACACAGTCTCACACACACACAGTCTCTTACACACACTTTCACACACACTGTCTCACACATATCCTCTCTCACACTGTCTCACACATATCCTCTCACACACTGTCTCTCTCACACACTGTCTCTCTCACACACTGTCTCACACATATCCTCTCACACACTGTCTCTCACACACTGTCTCTCTCACATATCCTCACTGTCTTTCTCTCACACACTCTACTGTCTCACACACACACTGTCTCCACACATATCCTCTCACACACTGTCTCTCTCACACACTGTCTCACACATATCCTCTCACACAGTCTCTCTCACACACTGTCTCTCTCACACACTGTCTCACACATTCCTCTCACGCACTGTCTCTCTCACACACTGTCCCTCTCTCACACACTGTCTCACACACTGTCTACATATCCTCCTCACCTGTCTCTCTCCACACACTACCACTCACACACACTGATCCCTCTGTCTCCACACACTCTCCACATACACTGTCTCACACATATCCTCTCACACACTGTCTCTCTCACACACTCACACACTCACACACAGTCACACTCTGTCTCACACACACTCTCACATGCACACACACTGTCTCACACATATTCTCTCACACACAGTCTCTGTCTTGAACATTCTCACACACACTCACATGCACTCTCTCTGTCTCTCTCACACACACACACACACACACTAATTGCTCCAGGACAGCCAGTTGAAGGCTGTTAGCATCCGGGCGCCCTGAGCGCAGGTGTGTGGGGGCAAGGCCGCCTCTTGCTAGCAGCAGCACCTGTAAATGGTGCACACAGGTGCAGAAAAGTGCCTGTTCCCTGGGGCCGGTTGCAGCCAGTAGGCAGCAGCAGCATCACGGGCTCAGTGCTCCCCAAGGATTATCGCCTCGTGGGCACGAAGCTGGGCGTGGCCGCCTTTTTTCTGTGATTGCCAGTGGGCCCAGCGCAGGACCTGCTCTTGGAGGCGAGGTGTGAAGTTGGTGAGTATTCCTCCTGTCTTGCTCCCTGTCCTTCCCGCTTTTGTTCTCCACTGCTGATTAGAACCTGCATATTGAGCTTACTAGCTGCCCCCACCCTCTCCCTTTTGGCTGCTCAAAGCCCGGGACCAAAGGGTTCCTCGAAAGAACAAAGTCCAGTTGCCCCATTTTGCTGTAAAGATTTTCCTCTAAAACCTCATATTTACTTGGGATATTTAGGTAAGTCTCTTGTCCTTTCCAGACATTCGGTCTAAAATACAGTACAGAGGGCTGGGCACGGTGGCTCTTGCCTGTAAACCCAGCACTTCGGGAGGCCGAGGCAGGTGGATCATCTGAGGTCAGGAGTTCAAGACCAACCTGGCCAACATGGTGAAATCCTTGTCTCTAATAAAAATACAAAAATGAGCCGGGCGTGGTGGCAGGCACCTATAATCCCACCTTCTAGGGAGGCTGAGGAAGGAGAATTGCTTGAACCCAGGAGGCAGAGGTTGCAGTGAGCCAGGGTCACACCACTGCACTCTAGACTGGGTGACAGAGTGAGACTTCATCTCAAAAATAAAATAGAATACAGAGTGGGGGTACTGCGACTTGAATGTCAGGGTTAGCAAATGTGTGCATTTAGGAGTCTGGGGTGGCGGGTGTTACGGTGCTAATTGTGCTAATAATATGATAACTGTAACTTAGTTACTGAAATGCCGTATCATTCTGACAGTGTTGTTTGTCCTGTTTACCAAGGGAAGAAGCTGAGCCCCAGAGAAATTAAATGGCTTGCCTGGGGCAGAAAGCGGCAAATCAATATTCAAAACTGGGTCTGAGACTTCGAGCCCTGTAATCTTAACTGCTGCTTTCTAATCATTCAGGACACCTGCGTAGAAAGGCGTGGTGGGAGAGGTACGGTCTGTAGAAAAAGCATAGCGACAAAGTGCGAGCTTAGGGAAGTCACTCATCCTCAGAAAATAACCTCAACCAGCAGCTTTCCTTTACCTGCCTCCGGCTGTAATCCTGCCTGGACTTGAAAAACTTCTCCCCAACTCCTCACCCACCTGACTTCACTCAGGAGAAAGTGACTGTGCCTATCCCAAAGTAATCCCTACACCATCCAGTCATCTTTCTCTGGGGCTTGATTAATCAGTTCAAGGGAAATACAGGGCGTTATCATCCCGTATGCATTAATGCACCTTCCCCTAAAACAGAGCAACCCTGTCAACATCACAGAACCTCAGCTTCGAACTCTGGAGTGAGGACGGTGATGCCCTTTGTATATTAATATGCCATGTAAGGCCGGGCGTGGTGGCTCACGCCTGTAACCCAGCACTGTGGGAGGTCGAGGCGGGCAGATTACCTGAGGTCAGGAGTTCGAGACCTGCCTGGCCAACATGGTGAAACTCCTCCTCTACTTAAAAAAAACAAAAAAACAGGTGTGCTGGACACCTGTAATCCCAGTTTCTCGGGAGGCTGAGGCAGGAGAATCGCTTGAACCTGGGAGGCGGAGGTTGCAGTGAGCTGAGATCATGCCACTGCACTTCAGCCTGGGTGACAGAGCAAGACTCCATGTCAAGAAAAACTATATCTGTGCTACATAAAGTTTAAAGGAAAAGCTTTGAGTCACGTAAGGCAGGATATAGACAAGAGTCTTTGTCATCTTCTTGCTGCTTCTACCTTTATTCTCAGCTCTGAATGTATGAACTTGCTCAATCACTTCATCCTAAAAATAAAATCATCCATAGACCACACTCATTTCCTTACCCACCCCTGAGGTTTTTGTTGATTTTTACAGCCCTGGTTCACTTCTTGGTCCTCCAGCCCCTTCAAAGGATTGTGCAGTGTGGTAAGGCAAATGTTTAATTCAAATTATGTATATATAGAAGTGTTTACATATGACAATCCGAAATTCATTCTCTTAAATAACCTTCCCCTCTTAATTTCATTGCCTGCGTTGAGAGTCTTTGTCTTCTGTGTTTTGCTTTCAATTTCCATGTATCCAGGTGCTTTATGTTAACTTAGAAGGGGGGGAGAAAAACCTAGAAAATGTTAATTGTTCTGTGGTTAGGATGTTAGCTTTTAAACAAGTGCTCAGAAATAAGTATTTTTCCATTTACCAATGACCAATATTGTCCCTAAATATAGGAATGTGTAGAAAAGCTTATTTTCTTGCTACGGTTCTATTTTGAGCAACACAGCACATAAACTTCAATGTTCTATCAGTGTTCACATGTACCTAGGTTTTTGGTCTTCCATGGATGGGTAATGGTAAGAATACCTCTATTGTTTTGGTGAAATTCATTTATGTCTACTTAGCTTCTACTCAAATGATTTTTTAATGGGAGGTACTTTTTAGCATTAATTTGGTGATTTGGGTTGTGTGTGTGTGTGTTTTAAGATGGAGTCTCCATCTGTCACCCAGGCTGGAGTACAGTTGCACAATATCAGCTCACTGCAAGCTCCACCTCCTGGGATTCAAGCGATTCTCCTGCCTCAGCCTCCTGAGTAGCTGGGATTACAGGCGCCTGCAACCAAGCCTGGCTAATTTTTGTATTTTTAGTAGAGACGGGGTTTCACCATGTTGGACGGGTTGGTCTCGAACTCCTGACCCAGGTGATCCACCCACTTCAGGCTCCCAAAGTTTTGGGATGACAGGCATGAGCCACCACGCCCGGGCTTTTTCAGTATTAATTTGAAAGCAGCAATACGAGAAGGTGTGGTGTGAAGTGTGTCCTTCCCTGCCCCCCTTAGCGTCTCCTCCCTATTTTCTGCTCCTCACCCAAAGGCGTTGTGCGCATGTGTGTGGTGTTGAGAGCCTTACAGGTGGGGCACCTTTCTGTGCTGATCCTTGTGCATTTTTAAGGACGCAGGGTACTTTGGTGCTTAAATTAATCCACCTGTTATTAACCGACTCCTAAATGGTCTTCAGTCTTGCTGCTTTACACAAGGCTGGGTCTAATATTTACAATTAAAATGGGTAAAGATTGCCAAAGTACCGTCCAAAAGGATGGCATGCATTTACACTTCCACTAAGGTAGGAGCACGTTTCCCTTCACCCATCACAAAGCAGGGTCCAGTCATGCATTGTGGACATTGTCAGCCTCACATGTCAAACGTGGTACATCATTTTGACTATTTTATCAGTAATAACATTGTTTTTTTAAAGTACATTTAAGAGTCATACGCAGTTTTTTTTTTTCTTTTTTTTTTTTTTTTTTTTTTTTTTTTTTTGACAGTGTCTTACTCTATGTCCAGGCTGGAGTGCAGTGGCACAATCTCGGCTCACTGCAACCTCTGCCTCCTGGGTTCAAGCCATTCTCCTGCCTCAGCCTTCTGAGTAGCCAGGATTACAGGCATGTGCCACCACACCCAGCTAATTTTTGTATTTTTAGTAGAGATGGGGTTTCACCATGTTGGCCAGGTTGGTCTCGAATTCCTGACCTGAGGTGATCCACCTGCCTCAGGGTCCCAGAGTGCTGGGATTGCAAAAGTCATATGCAGTTTTTTAACTCTTCAAAATCCTTCTAATAGGCTGGGCACAGTGGCTCATGCCTATAATCCCAGCACTTTGGGAGGCTGAGGCAGGTGGATCATCTGAGGTCAGAGGTTCAAGACCAGCCTGACCAACATGGCGAAACTCCCCCCCCCCAATAAAAATATACAAATTAGCCAGGCGTGGTTGTGGCTGTCTGTAATCCCAGCTACTGGGGAGGCTGAGGCAGGAGAATCACTTGAACCCAGGAGGTGAAGGTTGCAGTGAGCCGAGATCACACCACTGTACTCTAGCCTGGGCAACAAAAGCAAAACTCCATCTCAAAAAAAAAAAAGAATTATTTTAATATACTGAGCTATTATCATGGGTTGGAAGAGCTGTTTACATAATGCATTCTTTGTCATAGTCTCAAATTTATTTACAGCAGTTTTTTCAAGGGGAGTTGAAAGATTTGTTTTTCTAGAGTGAGGAGGGTACTGTACTGAGTTAATCTGTCATCTTGTCTCTTTTATACCATTTGATTGAGACCTTCTATTCCATTTGCTCATTATTTGGGGGCTAAATGTAAAGTAGGAATTCATGGACATAAATATTTCAAAATTTAGCACATCTGTGTACAGCCCCAGGAAATGGTGACCTTCTGTCGTCGATGTTGAAGTCCAGCCTAGACATCAACAGAGTGAGTAACATTCTTTTTAGAGTTCTCTTGTCTAGTTTTGGCTTTTCACAGAAATAGTTTCTTGTCCTGACAAAAATATCGGCAGGACTTCTTGGATTATATTATGCTAATGAAGGATCGTTGGTGTGCTGGGAATCTGCCTCTGCCTCACCACATCAAGCCTTTCATCTAGCAGCAGCATTTTAAAGCCCTCAAAACAGATATGCCACTTTTCTAAATTATGCACATTTTTTACCTCTATAGTTGCTGTTCATTTGATCTCATGATGCTTAACTGGTCATTAGATTTTGTGTGAGATTTTTATAGTTATATTTGTTACCAGCCCAATTTAATAACTGCATATAATTTAAAATTTTTCAAGTAATTTACGAGGCATACATACCTACATACCAATGTTAATTTTCACCTTCGTTCCACTTTTATACCTCTTTATCTGATTGTTTTCCTAGCAAACATAAATTAGGTAAATATAAATAATAGTGAAATGTCAAATATAAAGAATAGTGGAGAGAATACAAAACAAGTGCTGGCAGCTAACATTCTTTTTTTACCTTTTAGTTTTGGGGGTACGTGTGAAGGTTTGTTACATGTACACTTCTTTGTTACACAGGTAAACTTGTCGTGGGAGTTTGTACAGACTATTTCATCACCCAGGTGTTAAGTACCCAATAGTTATTTTTTTCTGCTACTCACCCTCCTCCCACCCTCCACCCTCAAGTAGACCCCATTATCTGTTGTTGCTCTCTTTGTGTCCAAGTGTTCTGATTGAGCTCCTACTTGTGAGGACATGCGGTATTTGGTTTTCTGTTCCCATCTTAGTTTGCTCTGGGTGATGGCCTCCAGTTCCATCCATGTTCCCGCAAAAGACATCTCATTCTTTTTTATGGCTGCATAGTATTCCATAGTGTACATGTACCATGTTTTCTTTATCCAGTCTGCCCTTGATGGGCATTTAGGTTGACTCCATGTCTTCGCTATTGTGAACAGTGCTGCAGTGAACATTTGCACGCATGTGTCTTGATAGAATGCTTTATATTCCTCTTAGTATATATACCCAGTAATGGGATTGCTGGGTCCAGTGCTACTTCTGCTTTTACCTCTTTGAGGAATCTCCACACTGCTTTCCACAATGGCTGAACTGGTTTACACTCCTGTCAACACTGTGTAAGCATTCCCTTTTTTCCCCACAACCTCAGCAGCATCTGTTTTTTGACTTTTTGATAATGACAGCTAACATTCTTACGGGTTTCTCTGTAGGGCTTGTGTGTCAAATCCAGTCCTTTGCAAATAAAGATTTATTGGAACATAGCTTTTATCCTTTGTTGACAAATTGTCTGCAACTACTTTCATACCACAGGAGCAGCTAAGCAGTGGTGGCAGAGAGCAAATGGCCCCCAAATCCTAAGATGCCTGGCTCCTTTCGGGAGATTTGCTGGCCCCTGATCTTTGTCAAAAATATGTGTATTTGCTGCAGTTTTTCCTTTATTTTAGTTGACACACAACTGTACATATTTATGGGAGGAATTTTTTTTTTTTTTTTTTTTTGAGATGGATTCTCACTCTTGTCGCCCAGGCTGGAGTGCCGTGGCGCAATCTCGGCTCACTACAACCTCCGCCTCCCAGGTTCAAGCGATTCTCCTGCCTCAGCCTCCAGAGTAACTGGGATTACAGGTGCCTGCCACCATGCTTGGCTAATTTTGTACTTTTAGTAGAGAGGGGGTTTCTCCGTGTTGATCAGGCTGGTCTCAAACTCCCGACCTCAAGTGATCCACCCGCCTCGGCCTCCCAAAGTGCTGGGATTACAGACATGAGCCACCGTGCCCGGCCCACGAGTGATATTTTGATACCTATATACAGTGTGTCATGATCAAATCAGGGGACTTAGCATATTCATCACCCCGAACATTTGTGTTGTGAACACGGTCCTCACTTC